AGCCACAACACACAACAAAAAAGACACAGAATCTTCTTGCCACCCGCTAAAACAATCTTTCATGAAAATACATTTTGTAAGCGGAAGAATTCTTCAGCGGCTGAAGGTCGATCACCACAGAAACTGTTTTTCTTCTGTTTTTTGTTGTTGTTGTTATTTTGTTGATGTTTGCTGAGTATGTAATTTTTTTTGTTTGTAGGCACATTTTTACTCGATATTGTTATAAAGCTAAAAAGGCCGTTTCGTGCTTTTGGCCGCATTTTGTTTGCATTACTTCTCTCTCTCTCCTTCTCTCGTTCTCTTTCTCTCTCTATGTTGTTTGGAGAGCTTAAGCTGAGTGAACTTTTCACAGAATTTCCATTGACAAAAGATGTGCACTCGTTTTTTAATACGAGTATGTACGAATTCTTTTAATAAACTCACAAGGCACAACAGGCACGGGTACACGGCACTATCACGGGCACGGACACGGACACGGAAAGGCTGCGCGGGCCACCAGAAGCGAGCGCGCGAGGGGGGGGGGCATATAACGTTGTCTCTGCCTCTGGTTCTTGCTGCGCGTCGGTCGGGGTCTTACGAACTGAACAAAATGAGAGCCGAATGGAGACTGAGACACCGCTGGCCAAGAGTCTCGATCAGGCAAAGCTCATGTCGTATCGTGTCGAATCTTGTTCGCTATACCGCTCGCTCGCTCTCTCTCTCACTCTTTCTCACTCTCTGTCAGTCCCAGCAGTTGCAAAAATACCCAAGCAAGCCACGTTAAAAGGCAGCTGAAAACCGTCGAGAGCAGCAGAGAGCAATGCGTCTCAAGACGTTGCTGTTGTTTGTGGGCAGAGTGTATGGAATACAAGGTGAGGTGCCTTCCAAGCGGTGTGCTCTCACAATGGAAAGAAAGAAAGAACGAAAAAGTAACCAAACAAGAGGCAACGCGTGAGAGGGAGATAGTCTTTACCTTGCACAAATTGTACCTTGGTTTCGAGAGAGAGAGACAGAGAGAGCACCTACCTGAGCCGCTTCGCACTGGTGGGAGAGAGGGCGGGCGGCGAAATGAAAAAAAAAACCCAGTAGGAAATGTACGTATGCTGTTAATATGTTGGGCACTCCAGTGCCCATGGAAATCATTTGCTAATGGGGGTTAGACCCTCTTATCAGGGAACACCAGCGGCAACAACAGCAACTGCATAGAGCTAAGCAAACAGGTACATATACTCGTATTTCTATTTAATACTGAAAGTCACTTATCTAAGCAGGAGGGACCCAGAGAGAGAGAGAGAGAGAGAGTGCGAGTACTCAGAGAGCGCTCTTTCTATTCAGAACCTGTCGAGTGTCCAGTTCTGGGCTTTGGAAGTTATGTGGAATGGGAGGAGGGAGAGCGAGAGCGGGAGAGCGCGCACTGGAATGGCTGGAAGACAAGAACCTGTTGCGGCAAAATGGACTGCAACTTGGCCAAAAAAAAAACAAAAAAAAACAACAAGAACATCGTGTGGCAAGAAGAGTTCGGAAACAAAGAAAGCAAACCAAAGAAGAGGCTACGAATGAACAAAGGAAAGGAAAACGGCTGATAAGCAAGGCCGTTGGGATGGGACTCTAGAGAGACAGAGAGAGAGAGATCAGTTTTGGCTGCTGCCTGGACACGGGATTCGGGTTCGGTTCGGTTCGGGTTCGAGACTTCAGATTCTGATTCGGATTCACTTCAGCGTTGATTTATGTTCTGGTTCTGTTTGCACTTTTGATTTTCAGCGCATGTTGATTTTAATTAGGAAAAAGAGACGAAGAACTCGGACCACTTGGGGGACCACCAACGAGGTTATGGGACCTGAACTTGAACATTCGTTTCCCCTCCTCAACCATCCCTCCCCTGCCACTCTCTTGGGCATTAAGAAATTGAATTTCAATATTTTGATCGGGGCATGACCGTTAAATCGAAAGCTCAAATATCGCACGCAAACCAGGTGTTAATGAGGCATTTTGTTTCGGCTTTTGGCCCAGGCCAATTTATGGCCCAAGAGAGTGGCTCCCATTTAACGGTACAAGCGAAAGGCTGGCCGAAAAACAAAAAAAACAAATGCAAATAAATCTGCAAAGAATCCAATTCTCGCTTCGCACCAGAACAAAGCCCAATGGCTGACAAAGATGCTACTTGGACAGATCTTCAATCTTCGAGTTTCTGTGTCAATCGATCCGATCCGATCCGACCCGACCCGATCGGTTCATTGAACGATTTTAGACGGATAAACTATGGGATCTGTGACCTATCTGCAATGGTATTCCACATCGTGGCTCGGGATTTGCGCCTCCTCCAGTCCTCCCCAATTAATCATCGCTTTGCTTTGTTGTTTCCCCATTTGTTGTTTTGCAAAATATAGAAATAGAGGAGAAAGACAGAAGGGGTGTGGGGGAGTCCGTCAGTGAAAACAAGTTTATCGGAGGGGGAGTCAAGGGAAGCTCGTGGAATGTGGAATGTGCCGCGACTATCAATCAATTTTTGTTTCTTTTTTCTCTTTCTCTCTCACCCCCAAAAACGGTCTATTGTCCGGATAGGCGATTACCAAATCGGTGGACCGGCTTGACTTTCCATAGGAAAAGCCCCAGAAGAAAAAAAAAAAAACACAAATTGCTTGAAGGTTATCCGGGGGACTCGGACGAGTCTCAACCGCACCGCACCGCACCGAAGCGAGCTGTTTAAGCATTCAATTGTGTGTGTGGAACGTGTGGAACACACCCTGTCCAGAGCCCGATCTTGATACGATATCATACTTGAGACCCATTTAACGTGGGAAAGAGCCATCAAAACAATAACCACACACGGCCGAGCACTTGGCCCTTTTTGCGAAAAAATTAAAAGCACAAAATGTTCAACTAGGAGCGGGTACGACGAGGTCCGAGGCCCCAGGCCCCAGGCCCGTTCCCCAAAGTTTTGTGAGTTGCATTTCAATTGGGGAGAAACGTCATCAGCTTTTTTTTTGTTGTTGCATTTTGCTCCATATGGCTGATGAAAATTTGCATTCAACCATATGTGGCAGTGGCAGACTGGGGAGGCGGGGGAGCACATTTTTAATGTCAAGCAACTGGCCGGCATGCCAAAGGTATTATGACATACATTTCAATTCAATTTTTAGATAAAGATGCGCGACTGCAGTTCGTTGCTTTCGGTTGGATGCTTTGAATGTATTTTTGAGAAAAATGCAACAAAGGCGAGCAGCGGACTATGGACGACATTTGTGTGGCCGGGGCAATGAAGTTCCGCCATTGGCGATGATGTAAACGTCGAAAACATATACAGTCCGGTCGACCCGAACATATCTCTATGAGTTACAGTAGCTCCCAGATATAAGGAATATCAGCAAATCAATTATACAAAGGGAACCCCGCTATGCAAGGGAATTTGAGGAAGCTTTGAGATAATAATTCGAAATAGCTCAGCTAAAAGAAAAGATATTTGCCCGATGGCAGGTTGTGAGTGCAGTGAAGTGATCGAAATTAATTTAAATAATGATAATATCGCTTTCGGGGGAATGACTACTGTGCCCAGAGGAGCCTCGGCTGAAGATCTGGCGGCATTTGCTGCGGGCCAAGCTTCAATTTTGTCAGTCAGTCAGTCAGTCAGTCAGTCAGCCAGTCAGCCAGTCAGGTCAGTCGGTTCGTCTAATTGGATTTGCGCGCTTGTGCGTAACTATAAATCACACACACACAGAAACACACACAAGCAAGCACATAGATATACAGACACAGATACAAATTCAGAGACAGCAAAACCAGCAGAAAGACAGAGCAGGGACAACCGGTTTGATTGCCAAGTCACCCGCTCAAAGCCCAACTGCAGACATGGGTATCCACCGTCGCTGAAGGAGGAGGAGGAGGAGGAGGAGGAGCAGCCGCAGATCCCATAAAGCTTTTTTCCACTCCAACTATTTGTAAAGTGACCAAAACGGTAACAGCAACAACAAGAACCACTGGCCACACGAAGAGAGTCCAAAATGAACAAAATAAAAAAACAAAAATAACCAAAATATGTGGCGGCCACACATATCCCTCTTGTTGTTGCTGTTGTTGTTCCAGTTCTTCTTTCGGCGTAAAAAACATAAAGAATATAATTATGCTGCTGCACAAAATATCAGCTTACGCAACCAACGAAGAAAGGTGGCCCGGCCACAGAATGTGGCATGTCAAATTTACATGACACAATTCCCCCTTCCCCTCCCCCCAGCCGCCAGGTCGTGTGAAAATTATTAATGGAGTCACCGGCTCGGGCTCGGGCTCTGGCTTGGGACTTTAGTGGGGTTCAGGTGTCATGTGGAAAGTGCGGCTGCTGCTGCTGCTGCTGGACGGGACGATAGAAGCTTCCTAGAAATGTTGTAAGTTTTTGTTAGGCAGTTGATTTATCGGCCCCAACGCCCCACAGGTTGTAAGCGGATGTTGTAAGCCCAAAAATTGCAAATCTAAATGGCCAAGTTCTGGCTAACAACAGGGACGGAAGGAGCAACATGATGGTCACCAGACAAGGGCCTAAACGGAGCGGAGCAAACGACCGACCGACCGACCGCCTTCTGTGTGCGCGTGTGGGGGGTCTGGTCTGCGATCAAGCCCCACATGTGACTTGAACTGTTAAGTGAACTTGTAGCTTCCTTCAGCTGCTTGAATTTCACAAGGAAGGACGTCTGGAATGGATATAGAATTACCAGCGAAAACGAAAGCTGATACCGCCATATGGCGTTATGGGTTTCAAATAGAGCGCCAAGTGGTATCAGCACAAAAAAAAAGCTGTCTGGCAGCGCCCAACTATCGATAGATAACTATCGAAACGATGTCTAATGAATTATTTTTTGAGTCAGCTACACATTAAGTGCTTTAAAACAAGTAAATTTCAAAGAAAATAAGCATAATAAGAGAATAAATAATTATGGTTTAGTTAGCTTATGTTATGCTGTAAAATCGAAATGATTATTCTTAACCCAAATAACCACAACAACGAACTAGTTCGCGAGTGAACCAGAGATAAGAATAATCAGCTGTGGGCGGCCATTATCAACTGTTGATTTCCAAACAAAGAAATGTGAAAAATATCTCAAGGAACATTCCACACACACGTCCGCCCACACACCGCCCATCAAGATGCATTCCGCTCAGGCCCAGGCCCAGGCACGGGACAAACTGTTCAAGAGCTGGTCGGGCATCAGCGAGGTGGCCATCATCAAGGAGGTGGCCACCAAAGGCGAGAACATCGACCTGTGCATGGAATATTGGGCCAAGAAGAGGAAAACGACGACAGCGGAATACCGTCACTACTTCTACGATGTGGTGCAGGCCTATGTGCAGCGATTGCTGTCGGAGCGGCTCGTGCACAAGGCGGACACCACATTGCGTAATGTGGACAGGGACGTCAAGTGCTTCTTCTTTCAGTACGCCTGCGAGTGCCAGGACGAGGATCTCAGCGAGTATGTGCTGGATCATCTGCGCACCAAGGAGCCGCTGCTGTACGAGCAGGAGGAGCCCGTCCTGGCCTACTACTGGTCGCTGGTGCAGCAGCTGCGGGAGTGCGGCTCGCTGCTGGCCAAACTGAAGACCCAATTGCCGCGGGTGCACATCGAGGCGTTGATGACGCTGCCGGAGGAGGCGTTGCAGCTGCTCCTGGTGGAGCTGTACTTTGCCAATGGCAATGAGTCGCTGCTACCCGAGCTCAGCAAGGAGATGGTGTGGCAGCATCTCGTGGATAATCAGCGGCTGGACCAACTGCAGCGCTGGTGCTGCTGTCAGGAGGGCAACGAACCCGAGGACACACTGTCCCCGCTCGAGAAGGGCTATGCCGCCTGGCAGGTGGACTCCTCCATGTACGACTACGCGCTGGAGCAGCTGCAGCAGCCCAGCGAACCGCTGCGAAATTACTTTGCCCGCGCGGGCTACTTCTTCCCCGATGAGTCCTCGGACATTCCCACACAGCTGCGTCGCCTCTGCACAATGGATTGCCTGGGACAGCACGCGGAGCTCATCAGCCGCCAGCCGCTGGCCAAATATCTGCTGGACCGCGGCCACCACGCCCTGCTCTTGATGGACTGTGTGCCCATTGCCTCGCTGGAGCAGCTGGCAGGCAGCGAGGCGCATCAGGAGGCCTTGCTCACACTTATAATTGATCTCAAAACTCATTCTTTGACGCAGCACGAGGGATTTGAACTGGTAGGGGGATTCGCAGAGGCCGTTCCGTTCGTATTGGTTCCCTTCTAAGAGATTTCCCTTTGCAGATATCCAAGAGCGTGCAGACGTACTTGGAGAAGACCCACAACGAGTCAGTCGGCCCCTTTGAGGAGCATCCCCTGCTCACGTTCTACGACTTTCTTACGCTGGAGCCCAGCGTGCGCTCCCTGGAGGGATTCCTCACATCCACCAGCCTGAGCAGAGTGCCATATCTCAAGTCGCTGACGGCCCGCTTCGACCACGGACCGACGGGCAGCCCGGCTGCTCTGCCCACGCCGCATGAACTCTTCCTGAAGTTCAAGCAAGTGAATCTCTCGGTGCTGGCTGCCGCTGGCCACGGGGAGCTGGTGACCTTCTCGAATCCACGGCTCTGCCAGCGCTTTGCCAGGAGGTCGCAGCTGAACTACACGCACTATCTGAAGCAGCACAGGGGCGCCTATGCAGTGTACTATCTGATCACGGAGCAGCTGCAGCTGTACGGCCAGATAACGAAGACCCAGCTGTTCCATGCCTGCGAAACGACCACGCAGCTGGCCCTGCAGCACGCCGGCGACGAGGAGCTGGTCACCCACTGTGTGGCCTGCTGCGAGATGCTGGGATTCGACACTCAGTCGCTGCGCAGCTTCCTCCTGCTGCAAAGGCGTCTGCCAAAGCGGCGGCATAGCGACAGCTACTCGGATTTGCTGGCCCAATGGGACCGGGATCTGGTGCAGCAGCTCGACACGAATCCCAAAGACTTTCCATTGGATCTGTATCAAGCTCTGATGCGGCTGGCCGTGCGAAAGATTCCGGGCAACTTTCCAGGGGCTCTGCTCCAGTATTACGCCTCCAGAAATGACTGGTGGCACCTGCTGCTGCTCATCCAGTACTTTGATCTGCCGCTGACGGAGCTCAAGAAGCTTCTGCCGGAGTTCAAGTCGTCCCCGCTGGGTGTCCACCTGCTGCGGGCTCTGAGCTACGAGTGCAGCGATCGGCAGCACAAGCGAAGCTCCAACAGACCCACGCGTCGTGGTGGCGTCGAAACTCAGACGAACTCCTCGCAGGAAACGATGACCAACTCCTCGCACAGTTCCATCCAGGAGGCCAATGTGCAGCAGCAGCAGCAGCTGCAAAGGCATGCGGAGCAGTCCATGTGCAACCTGCTCACCCCCAGCGCTCGCCAGGATCTGTTTGCCATCATCCTGTGCAGTTCCAACAGTCTGCCCGACGAGGAAATCCCAACCACGGCCACGTTTCTGGAGATGATGCAGGGCAGCACTCCGCACTGCAGCAGCATAAATCTGTTGAGGCACTGCATCAGGGAGGGGCTGCCCGTCCTCGCTGTTCTGGCGGCCACCGTAAGCAGACGGAATCTGGACTGGTGCTGGCTCGTCTGGCTGGCGGTGGCCAGCGGCCAATGGAGCACCCTGCTGCTGAGGGAAGACGATCGCTTCGAGTGGGTGTGGTCTGTGATACGGGGAGCCGTTGCCGGCGGCCACGTCAACGCTCTCCTGCACAGCTTCGAAATCTTCCAGCCGGTGAGTGGGAGGCTGACTTCTGATCCCTGATTCCTGATTCCAATAATTATGAATCTTCCGTGTAGGATTGCAAGTTCACGCATCTGTGCCGCTTCCTGCAGCTGACGGGCCACCAGGAGGACTTTAGCGATGCCACAATTGTGGAGCTGCGTCAGTTCTTCTGCAGCTGGAGCCACGATGCAGTCACTCTGCCGCTGTGTGCCCCCCTGCCGCGCAAGCAGATGATGCAGCGATCCATTGGGCTGCTGCTCATTCAGTTGCAGTCGAACTTTGACTGCATTCTGCAGCAGCGGCGATTCCTGGACTGCATCTGCCGCTCGGATGTGGGCGACATATGCGACCTCCTCGACTTTTGCCTGCTGCACAAGGTCTTTGGTGTGGCCGCCACGTGGCTAAGGGAACTGGCCATTGACCTGGAGCAGCTTGTGCGCAGGGACAGCTCCGAGTACAGGCGTCTGGTGGATGCCCTCACCGAGGCGAAGGCCTACGACGAGGCATTGCAGCTGTCCACCTTGCTGCAGCTGCCGCTGAGCGACATTGTCTATGCCAAGTGGCTGGCGGAGTTGGATGCTGGAGTGCTGCGTGCCCGCCAGGAGTACGAGCTGGAGATCGAGCAGCATGCTCTGCCGCCGGCCATTCTGGTGAACTTCCTGTTGCAGGCAGCCACCGGCCACCAGGCGGGTGCTCTCAGGCGCTACGAGCTGCTCCAGAATGCGCTGGGTGTGATCAAGCAGCATCATCTGTTCCCCAACGAGTCCTTCGACAGGGATCAGATCGAGTACGATATGGTCGTGTGCTATCTGCAGCTGCCCGAGGATCAGCTCTCCTCGCTGGCCATCTACCACTCGGAGTACTACGAGCAGATCATGCTGCAGGAGCGCCTTGTCCTCTACAAATCCTTCTCGGAGCTGAAGGAACTGGCCGGCATCGACGACCTCAGCATTGCCGGAAAGTCTCGCCTAACGGCCGAGATGGAAGCGCGACTGGACAGCCTGCTGAACACTCTCCTGGACAGGGGCGACATTGTGGAGGCGTTGCGTCTGCAGGACCTCTTCGAGTATCGGCCCAACGATCTGCGGTTCATTGTCTTTGCGATGGCCCTGGCCGAAGGCATAACCAGCATCGGCAATCTGTCCAGCAAGGAGCGCCAGTTGCTTGGCGAGATCGAGAAGAGCGCGTTCCCAAAGTTCAATCGGATCACGCTCAACCAGAATGTGATGACGCGATGCAGCAGCGATCTCTCCGACAGCTGCTCGGACTCCCTGGCCCTGGAGTTCGAGGAGATACCATCCAAGGAGAAGCAGCAGACGCTGGAGACCCTACTGGGCATTGGGTCGAAGCTCAAGGCCGGCGTGGAGCTGGGCAGACGCATTGTGCTGGCCTATCGGGCCGCCATGTACCTGGACAAGGAGTATCTGGATGTGCTACGCACCAAGGATGTCCACGTGCTGCTGAAGAGTGCCGCCGATGAGGATTGCCTGCAGCGTTTGCTGGTGGTCAGCGACATACAAATATCCACACGGATGACTCCAAAGGAGGTGAGATGCAAATGGAAGTAAAAACCAATAGAAGATTTTCTATTCCCAGTCCCATTTCCCATTTGCTTGACAGATTGCCGATATTCTCGCCCTGGAGCTGACTACGTGCATTGTTAGGCCGCGCTTCTACATCTTCAATGCCAACCAACAGCCACGGAACGCCCTGCGGAACGCCGATCTCTGGGGTCACAGCATCGATCGGGATTTCCACTTGTTCCTGGAACTGACACCAAACACCACGATGCTGGGCAACTGCCTGCTGGACTACTGCGAGGCCCTGAAGGCCTATCGTCGCTATCAGGACGGAAAGGAGTACGAGGAGAGCGAGACGTTTGAGCGTCTCTCGAAGATCATAACGCTCTATGGAGTGCCGCTGGCCACACCCCCCGGGGGACTGTCTGGCGTTCCCCAAGTGCTCTCCCACAAGAAGCAGAACCAGATCTACTTGGAGCTGCTGATCAAGGCGCACTTGTGCTTTGTCCACGAGTGCTCCATGGAGGGCATTGCCAGCGTTCTGCAGAAGGCCAAGAAGCTCAATGGACAACTGGCCAAGGCCAAATCGTGGTCCCTGATCGTCCGGATGCTGATTGGCATAGCCTGCTATCGGGAGATGTTCTACTGCTTCGATTCGCTGATTGAGAACGAACAGTTCGAGTCGCTGCTGGGACAGTTTGACGAGGATCAGAAGAGTGGCCTGCGCCAGGGCATTCTCAGCTATTTGCGAGAGTATCAGCCGAAGAACGGCAAGGAGCTGCTACGACTGGCTGCCTTGCACTTTCTCATGTACAAAGAGCTGGCCGAAATGTGGACCGAAGAGGCCCAGAATGTGGTTGCCAGAATCCAGGCCCTGGCCGAGCAGTTCAACAAGCTGAAGTGCTCGTCGGAGGTGCAGAATCTTCTACAGCAGGCCATGGAGAACTACACGCATGCCACGGAGAACTATCTGCTGGACAACAAGCTGCTGCTGGCCCAACAGAGTGTGTCGCGAGCGGAGCTCATTGCCATGCAGCTGGACCTCTGCAGCAAGGCCCTGGAACGGCGACACAATAACAACACCCCGCAGCTCTGTGTGAGCGTCATAGCCGTCCGATCGAGGGAACAGTTTCGGGAATTGGTCAACACACAAATCAGGTATCGGAGCATAGCTTTGACCGGGCTTCGGGCTTTTACTAATTCAATGCACAATTTCCCAGCGTCCCGCAAACTCTGATATTGAGTCGCGCCTATGGCTACGACATTAACTGGAGCGAGGCCATTCTCTCCCAATTTGTGCTGCTGCAGAACCCCGTCTATCTTCAGGAATATCTCTGCCATCGGCGTTTGAGCGACGATGTGATCGAGCAGGTGGTCAAGGGGTAAGAATAAACGTACTCACACAGCTCTGTTTCTGGCTTAACTCTCGCTCTTCTCGATTCCATTAGGTACTTGGTGCACGCCCAGAGCAATGCCACAACCGCCAAGCAGGAGGAGCTGCTGGCCCATCTGGTGGAGCTGCTTAAATCGGTGACACTCAAATACAAATTGGCTTCCATTTTGGGCCTCAAGCCCATTCTGTTGTCGTTGATAAACGATTCGCCAGTACACTATTTGCGCGACACGAATTTCGGGCGCAACGAGTTCCACGCGGCAGCGGACACATGACATATATATTATTGTGATTTTAAACCGATGTTAATCAACCATTTTAGCACTGAATACGTTATAAACAACATTTTTAAACAATCCGACTTGTTTTGCCATTCACTACGATTTCTTGCCGCCATCAGTCTTCAGGGGTGCAGAGCAGAGCCGATAACATACCATATGATTCTATCGATCGATAGAGCAGCTGAGATTTGGTTTTAGTGTTGCCAGATCGGTTCAAAGGGAATCGGTAATGAAACGGGTCACAAAATATCATGGTGTGGCAGCCCGCAACAACTACGAATTGCACGAGTCTGGCAAAACTTTTAAATGTTTAAAAATACAATGATTAACGCTCGCGGCCAGCTGTTCGTGGGTCAGGATATTGGCAATAAAATACAATCGATTAAATTCAATTAAAAATAGGTAAACTTCTCCATGGAAAGCGCTTCCTCAGGCGCTGGGGAATGTGCTGCTGCTGTTTGGGTTTCCGCAGTCTTGGGTCCGGGTCCATTCCAAGGCTGAACCATCATTCGGCCAAAAATCAAATACAACAAATTTCCGACAAACAGAATTGCGGCAATTGCCAGAAACACAGAACGCCATTGCGTACGATCCGACTGTAAAGTGGGTGATACACGCATTAGTGTTATCCTATATAGCAGGTTGTTCAAACTTACCTCATCGGACACCGCCAAGCCGATGATGAGGGGCGATATGACACCGGCTGCCGACATCAAAGTGTTGCTGATGCCAAACAGAAGCCCTGCAAAGTTTGGAGCGAGATCCACGTGATTGAGAGAGCTGCCAATGGCCTGGCCAGAGATGGCAGCCACCGCTGCAATCAGACAGCAGATGCTGCCCACCACATTCTGGTCGCTGACGTAGGTGAGCGACATCAGGGCAATGGCAGGAGTCCAGGAGGCATACGAATTGATGGTTTTGCGAAGGATAGGCAGTGGAATGTTCCGCCGCCGAGTCAGATACTCGGCCAGGAAGATGAAGAAGTAGGAGGACAGCAGCATGATCACAAAGGGCAGCGCAGACAGCAAGGCGTTCATCCAAATGCTGTACCGGAAGATGCCGTGAATGTAGCGGGGCACCTGCTGCATCAAAGTGTAGAAGCTGCAGGCCTGACTCATCTTGCAGAAGGCTAGCACGAGGAACGGACGTGAGGTCAATATGTGACGCCAGGGCACAGCCGGAGTCTGGCCCTTGGGGGCATGACTCTGTTCCAGGGCCAACTCAATGTATTTCCTCTCAGCCAGCGAAATGAAGGGCGATTCGGATGGCGAATTGGCGCCATAGCGCAGCCAGAGCAGGCACCAGACAACCCCAATGTAGCCTAGCGGAAAGCTCAGTCAATGATGGCGATCAGATGGAGACTCTCACTCACCTGGCACATAGAAGGAGCTGGGCCAGCCGAGGGGAGAGGCGGCTAGGACTCCACTGAGAGCAAAGCCCAGCGCTGTGCCACAATCCAGGCCGGTCGTCATGATGCCACCAAAACGATTCTGCTCCTTTTTGGGACACCACTTGGCCAGGTGCGTGTACAGGCAGGGCCACATGCCGCCCATGACCAGGCCCTGAATGAGGCGCACCACGAAGAGCAATTTCCAGCCACCCCAGGCAATGGAGAAGGGCGTGACGACGCTGATGAGACCCGTGGCCAGAGATATCACAAAGAGCAGCATCTTGGCCCCGCATCGACTGGAGAAGTAGCCGCCCAGCAGCTGCGTGCAGCAGGAGCCCCAGAAGGTACTGCTCAGGATATAAGACTTCTGCTGCTCCGTTAGCTGGTACTCTGGATAGTCTGGATTGCTGCTGTTGGCATTCGTAATCGCCACAATGGCAACGCTCAGGTTCATCCGCTGGAGCACGACCAGGGTGGCGCACGTGAAGAGGAACAGCACCTGGAGGTGGCGGATGCCCAGGGCGGGCCCTGCAAAGAAAATAAAAGAAAAGAAAAGAAAAGACTGTGAAAGCGAACGTTTGCATCGCCCATCGATGTGGAGCCAACCTTTGGTCACCAAAGAGAACGACGTGATCGTCATTGCAAGTGCAATCGGTGGCAGCGACCACACCGTCCAGTTGAAACCGCAGAACTGACCAACCAAAGTGGGGAGTGCATGGGCAGGTGAATAAGTGGCTGCAGCCAATGCGAAACTCGTTTGTGTGCCAAAACGACAAGCAGGCTGCACCGAAACTTGATTTCTGGCCAACGATGCTTTTGTATTCTTAGCCTGCAGGCAGCGACGTCACTGAACCACATGACCAAACAAGATCTCCTCCACTGATAAGATTCAGATTCAGTGACCTTGCCACTGGATTTAGCCTACTTTAGGGCTTGGATGGTATAGATAGGATACACAAATACGCCCAAAGAAAATAACTAGGCCAAAACCCATGGGGGGGGGGTTGAGAGCCCATTGCAAACAATAACAATGACGAGGAGAAATAATTCCAAAACAGTAGCTGGCAATAATTTCTTATCGATTGGCAAAGACAGAGCTCCCAGTCACCAATTTACCCAGTCACCCTGGCGCTTGATATGAATTTATTTGATTGAGGTAATTGCTCTCAGATTGGTTCCGTTCCGGCTAATAGGCTCTGTTTTATCAGATGACAAAGCGATCGATCGTTAGGCGATAATTATTGTTGAATTTGTCATTGATTAGATACGACACAGACCTTACTCAATTCGCGCGAAAGAGGAAGAAGGCCTGGTCTCAAAACACTGATGTTTGATCCATGGTTCGACTCAAAGCTGTTTCCCTCGTGCCAGACAGTATGGTGGATTAGTGGATTAGTTAGGACACAGACCTTACTCAATTCACGCGAAAAATGAAGAAGGTCTGTCCTCAAACACTGATCCACGACTTCAAGCTGTTCGACGTTGCTATCGGATCCACTTGTAGCCATATAAATTCCCAGGTCTAGCAACAGCCATCAAATGTAAATAGAGCCACGTACAAAGCAGAGAGGCAGAGAGAGGCAAGTCAACAAGTTTATTTTTATTTCTAAGTATCACAATTTTTTTGTTCATTATTCTTGTATGTACCCCAAACAGCTGTGGCGATTGTTTTTCGTGGGGAGAGTAGCCACAGAGCCAGAGCTGCGATCCGAGCCGATCCGATCCACTTGTCTCTGGTGCAGCACCATTGAGACTTGGTCGCGAGTGGTGTGAAAATCCCGTATAAATATGAGTGCTTATATACATTTATAAGATAAATTAAGAGATTAGATTAGGGTCCTCGATTGGAGTGCCCAAATCACAAGCGTTTGGCAACAGAACAAAGCGAATCAAATCGAATCGAATCTATTGAAAATAAATAAATTTACTCAAGTCCCGCGCTCATGTCACGCCTTATAAATAGAATAAATATAAATTACAACCTACTTATAGTTAATACTGATTAACAAAATCAATTGTTCGACTCGACTTCCGCCACAAATCATTCAGTCCGTCGCCATCACAGTGTACCGCTCTGGCCAGCTAATTTGCAGCTCCAAGACGGGATCGATGGGTGGCGCGATCGCAGGCGGTGGACTCTTCTTCTGGCTGCACGACTCGGCATCCTTGGGCTTCAGATAGTCATCCGCATCCCAGGGCTGTGCCTGGGCCGTGCCCCACACGAGGAACACACAGTTTCCCACAAAGAAAATGATGGCAGCCAGCCCAAAGACGATCTGCCATTGGCCACGATCGTGCTGAAGAGTTGGAATAAAATAACAGAAGAGACATTGATTAGCTTTCGATTCGGGGTTTTTTCCCATTCAACGGGCGCGGGCTCGGGCTGTGCTGGGCTGACTCACCTTATCGGTCACGATCTCCCCGGCAATCAGTGGCGTGAGGATGGGTATTATATTCGCCACCGTATTGCTCAAGCCGATCAGAATTCCGGCATGGTTGGGCGAGAGGTCGATGGTATTGAGGGAGCTGCCGATCGTAGCCCCACTGTTGACGCCCACGCTGAGTGTCATCAGCGTAATGGCCAGCACCTTGTTGTCCTCGTTGAGGAACCCAATGGCGATCAGGGCGGCCGCCGGTATCCAGAAGGAGAGCGTATTGAACACCTTCCGCACGGCCGTTAGAGACAGGCACTTCTTCTTGAGCAGGACATCGGCCGCGATCAGGTAGACATAGGAGAGCAGCCACATGGCCAGGAACGGCAGCGACGAGAACACCGCATTGCTCTGGATGTCCATGTTGAGTACGCCGTTCATGTAGGAGGGCAGCTCCGCCTGGAGCGTGCTCAGTCCATAGGTCTCGGCGCAACGGGTCACGAGCAGCGCCAGGAACGGAACGGACGTCCAGATGGCCTTCCAGGGAATGGGGATGGTGCGATCGTGGAAGTCTTCGTTGTGCTGCAGCGAGGACTCGATATACTTGCACTCCGCTTCGCCAATGAACCGCGACTCGGGCGCATTATTGGAGCCGAGGATCAGCCAGAGGAGACACCAGGCGGCGCACAGGGCACCCGAGACATACGAGATGCCCGGCCAGCCCATGGCACTCTCGGCAATCATTCCACTGATGAACATGGCCAGTACCGTGCCGCAGTCGGTTCCCGTGTAGCTGAAGGCTCCCAGGCGATTGCGCTCCTCGGGCGGCGACCACATCGCCAGGTGCTCCGTCACGCAGGGGAAGATCACGCCCTGGAACAGACCCTGCAGGATGCGGATGGCGCAGAACACCTGCCAGCCGCCCCAGGATATGCACCACGGGGTCATCACGCTGAAGACAGCCGTGCCGCAGCTGGCAATGAACAGGACGACCTTCGCGCCGTACCGACGACACAGGAAGCTGCCCGGACAGAGGGTCACGATGTAGCCCCAGTAGAAGCTGGACAGTATGTACGATTTGTGCTTCTCCGTCCACTCGTATTCCTGGCAGAAAACGGAGAACGGACCACGTCAGCAAAGGTTTTCCTTGGCTGGAGCCACTCAGTGCACACTCACCGGAAAGTTGGGATTCGTTGTGGCCGCATTGGTCATTGCCACGATGGCCACACTCACGTTGAGGCGGGCAATGTGCATCACGGTGAGGCCCAGGAAGAGCAGGAAAGATTGCAGATGGCGAATGCCAATGCGCGGCCCCTTAGCTCCTTTGTGGGTCATATTTTACGAGCACTGAACCGAACGAGGGCGGAGCAGGGGAGGATCTAGGGGTGGTGGTCTGCACCGTTTGGTTGGCGGATCGCTTGTGGCCCTGCTCGCTATTGTTTAGCCAACATTTATACGACAGCTGAAAGCTTCGGGTACTTCGGCCGCTTCGGCTGACCACATTCCCGTAATCATTCACGGCACGGCCGGGCACAGCCGTGTCGTGTCGTGTCGTGTTTGTATGCGGACTCGCAGGTGACTCCCACAGAGAGATGCCCCGTTTGTTGGGAGGCGGCGCGGGAGCAAACAACACGCGTAACTTTTGACGCAACGCCTCGGATCCAGAAGTCGATTGACGTCCCAGATCTATTGTACAAGAGCAAGAGAATACTCGGCATGGCATACTCGCATATTGTACGTAGTATCAGCAAATATTGATGGATTTACACAAAGTTGAAGTGGTAGCTGCAAAAACACTCCACTCCACTCCTCGCCTCCATTTCTGCCACAGACTTGTTTATTTGTCCAGAAGATTTATGGCGAAAAAGCTCGAGCTTCTATCGGATCCAGGTGGAAATATAAAACGGAAACTGAGACACAGAAAGAGGGCTACTGGCACCAAGCAGGCAAGCCCTACGGCCTAGGCTAGCTTCCAGCTAACAGCGCCGATTGGGCCATAAATGAATGATTTTAATTTATTTTTTGAATATTATTCTTTACGAGTACGGCTCTAATCTCGCAAAACAATGGCACGCCCGTGCAGTGCACGATAAGCGATGCTACCCGCTATATAAATAATAAACTAATCGATAATGTACCCAAAAGAGGAGCCAAGGAGCCACAGCCGTTCCATCAATTTATTGAACTTTACGAGTATTATACATATTTAAACAATTATAATCTATGGCTAAAACAACTGGAGCAACTCTTCGCTGTGCGAAACTCGAGTGATTCCCCCTCCCCATTCCACGGCACTCGAGCGCGCCTGAGCAAAAGCTCAACGGACGGACCGGACTCGAGTGTAGATTAGGATGGCTATCGGAGGGTCTGGAGAGTCGGAAATTGAATTGTACTATCTGGATTTTTCGTCGATTGCCTTCGGCTTGCCCTCGGCCAACTCTGGTTGGCGGGGCTGTAGAAAGTCTTCGGCATCCCAGGGCTGGCAAACAGCCGATCCAAAGGCCAAGAATATGCAGTTGCCCACAAAGAACAGCACCGCCGCAATAATGAACACAATCTGCCATTCTGTACGATCACTCTGGAATGAAAATAGACCATAATAAACGGGGCATTCTGTATTTCCATGGAGTGGCGAGCACTTACGGTATCCTTGACGATAAAGCCCACAACCAGGGGAGTGATTATGGGCACCACATTGGCCGCTGTGTTGACGATGCCCATCAAAATACTGGCATGATTCGGCGACAGATCGATGGTGTTGAGGGAGCTGCCGATGGTGGCGCCACTATTGAAGCCCACACTGAGGGTCATCAGAACAATGGCGAGAGTCTTCTGGTCCTTGTCGAGGAATCCGATGCCGATCAGTGTCGCGCACGGAATCCAGAAGGCCAGCGAGTTGAAGGTCTTCCTCAGGGCAGTCAGAGACAGGCGGTTGCCACCGAGCAGAATGTCGGCTGTGATCAGGTACACATAGGACATGAACCACATGGCCAGGAAGGGCAGGGCCGAGAAGAAGGCATTGCTCTTGATGTCCATGTCGAGGACACCGTTCATGTAGGACGGGATCTCGGCCTGCAGCGTGCTCAGGCCATAGGTCTCGCAGCAACGGGTTATCAGTAGGGCCAGGACAGGCAGGGAGCTGCAGATGGCTCTCCAGGGAATCGGAATGACCTTCTTGTGGTAGTTGTCGCTGTGCTTCAGCGACGACTCAATGTAGTGGAGCTCTGCCTCGCCAATGAAGCGGGACTCGGTTGCATTGTTGGACGCAAAGATGAACCACAGGGCACACCAGCCGAAGGCCACTCCCGCGGAGACATACGAAATGCCCGGCCAGCCGATGGCACTCTTGGCTATCATGCCGCTCAGGAACATGGCGCACACATTGCCGCACTCGATGCCCGTGTGGCTGAGGGCGCCCAGGCGATTGCGCTCCGCTGGCGGGGACCAGCGCGCCAAATGCTGATGAATGCAGGGAAAGAGCAGTCCCTGGGCGAAGCCCATCAGGACACGTATGCCGCAGTACGCCTGCCAGCCGCCGAACCCAATGAAGAGGGGCGTCAGGGCACTGGTGACGCCGGAGGCGAAGGCTCCCCACAGCATCACACTCTTCACGCCGAAACGCTTGCACAGATAGCCCCCCACGAATTGGGTTACGATGTAGCCCCAGAAGAAGCTGGACAAAATCAACGCCTTATGCGACTCCGACCAGTCGTATTCCTAAGCGGAAGAAAACAAACGAAATGTTGATCAAATATGTAAAAGGGGTGGGAGTTTTATGGCCTTACTGGAAAGTTTGGATTGGTTGACTCCGCATTGGTCATGGCCACCACAGAGACACCCACATTGAGGCGTCCCAGGTACATGCCGGTTATATTGAGGAATATCAGCAGGGTCTGGACATGCCGCATGCCCACAACAGGTCCTGCAAGCAAAAGAAAAACGTTACTCTCCTATCTCGTATCTCGAGTACTTCCTGCAGTTGAGTAAATAAATCTGAATTGCACTCGAGACATCGCTATCGAGGGCACAAGCCGTACGATTTATGACCCTTCCGAGAGCCACTTGTTGTGTGTCGGTCGGGAAGCGAGCCGAGCCGAGCCGAGCCGAGCCGAGCGAGTGGTCTGGACTTTAATCAGGCCACTGGCAAGGTCTTTCTTGACACTTGAAGGAAAGTTCTTCAACAAAAGTGTGTCAAATGCAGTTCCGTTTCTATGTGCTCAAAGTTCACTTCACAGACGAAAGTTCACGCAATGCCACGCCCATATTTACCTTTATTTGGCTCGACTGTCATCCTTGAGGTTTTTAAGGGGAAATCCAACACTTTGAGCACCGTCCGAGCTGCAACAGCGCTTGAACTCGAATGAAGTGAGCTAATTTACAGTGGGGGCACATTTCGATTTCAATCGTACGACCTGATAATCGATATTCGCCTAATCGGAGAGAGATTATCCTGCGATAAGGCTTGCGATCGCGTGCGTGCGCGCAGTCCGTGGAATTTCCTCCCAGAGAGACTGCAATCGAAAAGAAACGCGGAATGTCGAGATTAGTTAATTCGTAATTAGATTGGGGCCAGATCAATTATAGATGGCACAGAAGTAGTCCCCATTGCCGAATGGGGGTAAAATTCAGAGCGCTGACCTAAGCCAATAGTGGATCTTGGCTCTCTCTCTTGGCTCTCCAGTCATTAGCTGATACCATCAAAATCTGGACGATGAGAGACCCACCCACTTGAGATAGCCGGCGCTGACACACCTCTAGTCATGAATCGTAATGGGGAATACCAGAAATACCAGCTCAACTTTCCAACAGTCTCTAATCTACCCTTCTGAGCAAAACATCAGACGATGTGCCAGCTTGTCAGGGTCTTCGCCCATCGAAATCACATTTTCTGGGACCCCTAGTGGATAAATGAAATGAAATGTCAATTTAATTGAACACCCATCGATCTTGTTCTGGCCCCACTCGCACGTCAATCAGGGCATGGGAATTAAACACGCTCAATACTTCTGATAGCTCCATCCATAATCTACTCGTACATACGAGCATGTTAGATAAGGAATTCTCTATGGGTAGTACGAGTCGAACTGCCATTCCCCTTCAGCTTCATCGAAATTGACAAGGACGAGGACAGGGACAAGGACGATTTCGATTGACGTTTATACTCGTATTTGATTTATTTATGCTTCTTATTTTTGTTTATTTATTTATTCCTGATTAAAAATTATCTGCTAATAAATATATATGTATGTTAAAATTAAAGGAAAAAAGAGAAACAATAATTAAACATAAGGCTATAATTTTTAAGGGATATTTCAGGGGATAGGGATCTGATCTATCTATTATGATCTATATCTAAGCTTATCAATTAGTTTTGAATATTCTACGAAATTCTGGGCACGGACCAGCCGTCGTGAATGGTTGATTCTTCTCCATTTTCGGGGTGTCTCTTCCATTGCTATTCCTTCTGTGAATTTCGTCGCTTGATTTCCTCCGCCTGCTCGCTCTGTTGTGCCTCCAGGGCCTTGGCATTTCCTTCCTCCTGCCGAGTGCAGGACATTTGCTTGTCCAAAAAGTCGGGTGCGTCCCATGGCTGGTTCACCATCTGGCCAAAGATGAGGTAAATTATGTTGCCCACAAAGAAGATGACGGCCGAAATGATGAAGACCACCTGCCACTGGACGCGATCGTTCTGCAAATATCAAAAACCAAAGTGAGAATCAGCTGAACCAGGGGGCTCATATTGTGCGGACTTACATCATTCGTTACGATAATGCCAACCAGGAGGGGCGTCAGAATGGGCACAACATTGGCCGCCGTGTTGACGATGCCCATGAGGATGCCCGCATGGTTGGGCGACAGATCGATGGTGTTGATGGTGCTGCCGATGGTGTTGCCGGCATTGATGCCCACATTGGCGCACATCAGGACAACGGCCAGGGTCTTGTGTTCGCTGTCCAGGAATCCGATGCCGATCAGGGTGATGGCTGGCACAAAGAACGATATGGAATTGAATGTCTTGCGGATGCCCGTGATGGTCATGGCTCCTCCCGTCAGCAGGATGTCGGCGATGATTAGATACACAAAGGCCATCACCCAGGAGGTCAAGTAGGGCAGGGCCGAGAAGATGGCGTTTTTCTTCATGTCCATCAGCAGGACGCCGTTCATGTAGGAGGGCATCTCGGTCTGGAGCGTGGAGTAGCCCCAGGACTGGCAGCAGCGCGTGATCATCAAGGCCCAGAACGGCACCGAGCTCCAGATGGCTCCCCAGGGCACCGGAATGGGCCCCTTGGCCTTCAGCTCCTCCGCCTCCTTGGCGCGACTGGAGTTGATCGAGGTCTCAATGTAGTTGAGCTCCTCCTCGCTGATGTACTTGGACTCCCTGGGCGTGTTGGCGCCGAACAGCAGCCAGATGATGCACCAGAGCACGCCGACGGCACTCGAAATGTAGAAGATGCCGGGCCAGCCCATGCTGGAGGCGGCTATCTGGCCGCTGGCGAACATCGCCAGCAGAGTGCCACAGTCGAGGCCCGTGTTGGCCAGGGCGCCCAGTCGATTGCGCTCGTTCACGGGACACCAGTTGGCCAGGTGGGCGTGGATGCACGGAAAGAGGAAGCCCTGGAACAGGCCCATGGCCACACGAATGCCGCAATACGCCTGCCAGCCGCCCCAGGAGACGCACCAAGGCGGCAGCAGGGCGAGCAGGGCCGATCCAATAGTCGACACGAACATGGTCATCCTTGCGCCAAAGCGACGGCACAGCCAGCCGCCGAGGAACTGTGTCATGATGTAGCCCCAGAAGAAGCTGGACAGGATGTACGAGCGCTGTGCGCCATTCCAGTCGTATTCCTGGCGGAGAGAGGTCACAGAGATCAGCTAATGCTCGTGGCAGAGAGATGCGTGCGGCAGACTTACAGGGAAATCGGGATTGGTGCTCTCCGCATTCGTCATGGCCACAATGGCCACGCCCGCATTAAACTTGGCCATGTAGTTGACAACAATGGAGAGGAAGAGCAGAAAGGTCTGCACATGCCGCTGTCCAATGGTGGGACCTGCGAAATGGCAAATAAATCGGATTAAACCCACGCCACTCACTGCACTGGATACACGTCATTAGCATATTGAAATTCCCAGCTCCGAATAGTTGCAAGTCAGTTTTATTTTTATTGCTGTCTCAAGAGCTTCCACATTCGACTTTATGGCTGCATTTAAATCAAATCCACTTTGAATTGGTTTTACGGCCTGATAAAGTCTTCGCATGACTGGCGATCATGGCGATCATGGCGATAATTTCCACAGACTATCGTATGTACGAGGAGGAGTATCCTTTGTGGATGTTCTACTAACCCGTCTTCGTGTTCGCCTCAGCCGTCATATTGAAATTTGTATTTGTGTTCCACACGCGGCCAAGATCGGGAAGCAACTCAATTGGCAGCCGCCTGTCAGCTTTCTTTACACCTTGTGCGCACTCCGAGAAGTGGAGCTAATCGCAGTCTGAAGTGACAAGCGACTAATGGACAGCAAATCACAGCACTTGACTGGCAAACACGATATCGATAACGCAGCAAGGCAACATACCCAAAGCGAGATAGCGAGCACAAGTGATTGGGATCGGGACTGGGATTGGGATTAGGGCCATGGCGATCGGGCCCCTTATGAATGGGCGGCTGCTACTACACCTACTACACCTACTACACTACGCTTGTAATCCGGATGCGCAGATCTACCCCGCACCGATAGCGATTTCGATCGAAAGGGAAAGACTTCATGGGGTCTTAGTGCCAGACCTAGACCTCTTGTCTTGTCTTAACGCTGTGAGCTCTTGAGTGCCCACGGGCTTACGTGTAATCTTATCATTGCTGGCCATGCCGTGTTTACCCCTTGAACCTATCAGCGGATCACACGATCCAACCTCCAAAATGAAGAGTCTCTCGGGGCACGGGCCGATAGCAACGCGCTCGAATCATTCAAAGCGCCGTGCTCCAACTGGAGTGGAGGGAGTATCTATCTGAAATCCTTTCTTCCAGGCGTACGAGTATATTTATTTTATTGGACTACAGCGCTTACAGAGTATTCTATACATATTGCTTGACTCGAGTAGCAGCCATCCAGCGATCTTTAGCGACTCTCCTCCTCCTCTTCCTGAAGCCGCAGTATGTCCGCCTTGTTGATGAAGTAATAGCTGGGCTGACGGCCCTTCAGGTCTTTGGCGGTGCGCTTGGCCCCGTTCTGAATCAGTATCCGACTGACGCTCTCCAGGGAGTTGGTGCCCATGGCATAGTGCAGCACAGTGCGCTCCAGCTGGCGATTAAATGAATTAAAATCATTAAAAGAGAATAAACGGCAGGGTAAGTGGCACTCACGTTGTCCGTGATCTTCAGTGTTTCGGGACAGAGTTTGACCAGGTGCTGGACCATTTCCTCGGACTCCTTCAGCACTGCTATGTGCAGGGCGGTTCGACCTGCGAAGCAAAAACAAAAACAAAGAGTACTCTGCATAAGAAGGGGAAACCCTTTGCGGGAGGGAGGAAAGCATTCGGCGCACCGTAATAGTTTTTGGTTTTGATCAGCCACTTGACATTGGAGCCGGCGGTCAGCTGCCTCACTCTCTCCATGTTGTTCTCCCTGATCATTTGGTGGAGCTCCTCGCGGGTCTCCTCCAGCCCACGCAGCGCCTCCAAGAACTGGGCCAGGGCTTGGTGCTGTCGGCTGGCCACCACATCCCCGATGGACTGACCGCTCTCATCCTCGATGTCCAGGATGTGATCGTAGCCCTGCAACGCCAGTTCGTCGAAGGGTGCCACTTGGCCTGCCGAAAGAGATTCAAATGGAGTTATTCTGAAGGGCATTGGGACCGATTGGCGTGGCTTGGCGGCCGATCCTACCGATGGCAGCCTGGGCCAGGATATAGCGATCGATCTCCGCCGCATTGTTGGGCTGATTGGCCTGAAGGGAGACGTCGCGCGCGGTGCGGTATAGCTCATCGCGGTAGGTGATATCGATGCCAGACTCCTCGATGAGCGTGTAGAGTGCCCCGCGGCGATGGGAGCGCGCGCAGGCAAAGTGCAACATGCTCTGGCCGTGCTCGTCCCGTTCCTCCATGTGCTGCATGGCCAGGGCTCCGTCTGCATCCTCATCGGCCAGCGATCGGGCATCCAGCTCGATGAGATCGGCATTGCCGATGCCATTGCGACTGCTGACCAGCTTGGGATTGGATTTCGCCATGGGATTGGAGGAGGAGGAGGAGGAGGTGGTGGTGCCCGTGTGCACTTCCACTTGGGTGATGGGCTTCCGTTCGCCCATGAAGTGCTGCAGATAGCCGGTCAGATAGGCCACGGGATCCTTGGGCCGTTTGTTGGCGATCTCGGTGAGCGCCTTGATCAGAGGATCAGCCAGAGCTTCAGAAAGGTGCAATAGTTATGGCCTGATTGGAGTTTTATGTTCCCTGTAATTACTCACAATCTGCCAGATATTTGCCCTGTTCCGTCTTGAAGATGGGATTGGCCTGAAAACTCACGGACTGCGCCTGACCTGCACAAAGAGAAATCAGCATTAGACACGCTCTGTTCATCGCGGAGGGTCACACACACTAATGGGATTGGGTCCCAGGAAATCTACATACACAAAGCGAGAGGGGGAGGGGTTTGTGTGTGTGTGTGTGTGTGTGGGGGGGGGAGGATAAGAGGAGAGTTAACAAACGAAGATGCGGATGCCGATGGGTGGGAAACTCAAAACCAAACAGAACGAAACATTGCAAATCATATGGAAATCGAAACAAGATCACAATCCGAGGGGGGGGCACAGGGAGACGTACATGTACGTAATACGTATGTAGGTGTAAACTCAATGTGGAACTTACGATTACGGAATTTTGGAATGTGTGCGGCGTACGAAGCTCAGCGTAAGCGGAGGAGTAGGTGGATCTGATCTATTGTATTGATGGCAATTGGCAATGCTGGGCGTACAAGAGCAAGAGTCGATCAAGTTGCGATCTATATACGAGTATATATATATTTAAAGATAACATTATGTAGGTACGAGTACGGGTACGGGTACGGGTACGAGCATGTATGTACATTGGGGGATTGGGAATTTGGAGGTGGGGCATTCAATTGCGATCCACAATGCTGTTCTTCTTGCGCTTGAAGATCTTCACCAGCATGGTGGCAATGTGCTTGGAGTTCGTCAGCGACATGTCCTTCTCCAGGGACAGGATGTTGGTGACGGCAGTGCAATAGTCCTGGAACAGCACGTACTCGGCAATGCCCATGCTCTGCATATTGATGAGCCGCACCGTCAGCTTGGACAGGCGGTTCGTCACCATGCTGAGGCCCCGCACGGAGCACAGGTGCCGCAGGTTGTCCATCTCCTTCATCAGATTAGGCAGCTTGACGATTGTCGTCATTTTGAGGCCCGTGCCCAGGAAGGCTGGCCGCGACTGCAGATAGCCGAGCAGGTAGCTCTCCTTGAAGTGCAGCTGCGTCTCCAGATAGGTGACGGCTCGTCCCACCCGCGTATAGGACGCTCCCATGTCGCCCGGATCCTTGCTGCTCGTCGTCGCGATCACCCGCAGGTGCTCCTGGCAGTTCAGCCACACGGCCATGTTGTGGGCGGAGTTGACGAAGACGCCACGGCCGTACGGCCAGAGGGCGCCATTGAAGGCCGTCGACTCGGCTGCCTGCACCAGATCCTTGGTGTCCAGCAGGGATATCATCAGGCCCAGGCTGCTGAGCATCAGGGCCACCTCCGAGTCGGGCTCGAGCAGCTCCGTGAGGGTGTAGTAGTTGCCGGACTCCGTCTCCCCAATGGCATCCGCGAAGCTGGTCGTGAATATCTTGCCCATCATGAGGCGCTCGGCCTGCTCCAGCTGGCCAATGGTCAGGTTGAGCGGCAGCTCCAGCTGGTCGAGATTGCGCGACGCCTCCACAATGCAGCGCGTGACCAGCAGCGACTCATCGTCGTAGACGAAGGCGGCCGTGTTCAGCCGATCCCCGTTCTCCATTGGGAAAGAAGGCGAGACGCGGCTGCGGCTTGAAGTCGGCGTCGATGCACAGGCAGTGCATGTCCTTGAGCAGCGGCACCAGGAACTCCTGGAACACCACAAACACATCAAAGTCCGGTGCGATAATGCCATAATTGATGTCCTCCTCCAGGTGGCGGGCCTTGGACGTCTTCCGCATCGCCGGCCACAGCACATCGAAGAGATTGTGATCGAGCCGCGTCTGGCGGCGCTTGATCTTCTCGTAGACGGCACGCTTGAGGAAGCGGCTCAGGAAGCTCGTCACCGACAGCTGCAGCGACGAGGTGGCACTCACTGGCTTCCTGTGGGCCAAGGCCGAGGCCGTGCTGCCACTCAGTAGCTTGCCCGACTCCGCTATCACGCTGTAGCAGCGCTCCAGGGTCCTCGAGATCTCACCATCCTGCAGCTCTCGCCGGGCACTGTGCAGATCGTCGGGTACTGCGGCGTGTGTAATTGGGTGTAATTTGATTTGGATTTGATGATTATCATTTAACACATACACACAGCGCACACCAACACACACACACACACACACACACAGCAAGAATGATGAACACCAAAGCATGTACAGACACTGATGCGGAGACGAGCACGAATGTGGGTGGGTGGGGTGGTTGTGCTGCAGAAAAGGCGGGCGGGCAGGTGCTTCAGTGGATAAGTAAACCCCCGAGTGTGTCGGAGAGTGTCTGGTGAACGGTGTACAGTGTGCATGGTGCCTCGTACATACCAAATAAATCATCAATATTGCCAATGATTTCATTAAAAAATTCACGATTTGCCGCCATTATGAGACGCAGAAAACGAGAACGAGAACGAATAGGAGTAGGAGTCCAAAATAGTTGCTTGCAGCTCGCGTTGCAACTGAGAAGCAGGCACGACTACGCGGGCGAGTGTGTGACTGACTATTGAGCGAAGGACGAACGATGTGTGCTGCACGGTGCGACTGAAAATCGATGACTGAATGCTCGGCCAGGGCCCGCTCTGTGTACAGTACACACCCTCACTCCATTAACGAGTACGAGTACGAGTACGAGTACGTACGGGTATTTGACATGGCAAGCAAACGTATTTAATTATTTTGGTTTACTTTTAGTGGGTGTAACTGCCCCCTGTCTGTGTGTGTGTGTGTGTGTGTGTGTGTGTGTGTGTGTGTGCTGGGGGTTGGGGAAACCGAAGGAAAAGCCACACAAAAGCAAATAAAAATTGAGTGCTATTTACTTGTGCTATGGCATGGTGTGAGCAGCTGCAGCTGCTGCTGGTGGACACACAAATTCAGGTCGGGCGCCAACCCCCTGTCCCTGCCCCTGTCCCTGCCCCTGTCCCCGTCCTACCTTGATCGTTGAGCAACTGATTCTCGAGCTCCTCGGCCCCAAAGAGATTGAGCAGCTCCGTGTAGTTGAGGATGTCCATCGCCTTCTCCTTGTCCAAATAGAACTCGGCCGTGTGGCCCAGCTGCGTGCCACGTGTGAATTGAGTTTTAAATATTAATTAATTGACTTTTGGCCTATCATAAATTTATGGCACACAGACGAATGTACTGTGAAAAGGTGAGAGAGGGAGAGAGAGAGAGAGAGAGAGAGAGACAGAATGCCCCTTGTCCCACTTTCAGTTTTATTTTGAGCACAGTTTAAAGTGTCCCCACAGCAGTTGCTATTTTTCCCAGTGCAATGAATATTTAAAGCAGGTATTTCTGATCTGACTGACAGGAGTTCCCCAGTTGCCCAGTTCCCCAGTTCCCCAGTTGCCAGACCCAATTAGCGATAGTTGATAAATGGCTCGCCTCGGATCATCGCCTCCCTGCCCACTCACCTTGTCCAGTGCCTTGGGATTGCCGCCCAGCTGCAACAACATGTTGTAGAAATGGCCATTGTCCTTAATGGTGGCTGCATAGTGGAGCGGCGTGCGTCCGTCATTATCCGTAATTGTCATGGTCTCCGGGAAACGCGAAGCCAAATACCGAACGATGTCTACACCGAAAAGCACCAAAGAACAGGGAATTTAAGCTTTATGCTGTGGAAGAGTTCGAAGTTGGAAGTTGGAACACCCACCCGTGTGTCCAAAGAGCACGGCCACGTGCAGGGCGGTGGAGCCATTGGGGGATATGTCGTCCTTTGCAATGGCAAACTTCCGGCGATCCAGTGCCTGCTGCAGGGCCAGCAAATTGCCGTCACGTGCCGCATCGTGCACGCGATGGATTTTCTCCTGTCAGAACAGCAAATGCAGTAGTGCAGTAATTAGTGGCTACTCCATCCGGCCATCCGGCCATCCGGCCAATCGTTCCACCACTTCCTTCCGCTTACCATGTAGCTGGGCACGTTGTTGAGAAAGGCCTGTATCTCCGCCTCCTTGGACTTGAGATTCAACAGACTAGCGCCCTCGCCATTCAGCACGATCTCGGCCAGCTGCTCCAGGTCCCCGGACTCGATGATCTGCTTCATGCGTGCCTCCTGCGAAGGGGAGAAGCAACACCATCATTCACTTGGGGCATTGACCGCACACAGACACAGACACAGACACTCATTCGGTGCGTAGTCGAAAGCGTAATTAGTGTCACGTGTGAGAGAGTAGAACTGATGATGGATGGCAGTGGAATGGATGGCAAATGATAAGAGCAAACCCAAAAGAAAAGCCAGGCGAGAACACCAGCAACAGAATAGAACAGAACAGAACAGAACAGAACAGAAGAACAGAGAAACAGCGCTTGAATAGGAAAGATAGGAAAGGATTGCATCGTATACTTCATCAATTGCAGTTTGAGACTGAACTGTATAATCCTCGGGCGCGCCCTGCACAAAGCCCTCGATGGCCATGGCCGATGTCAGCGAATCGTTGCCATCCTCATCAGGTGCCGTTTCCGTTTCCTGTTCCTTTTCCGGTTCCGGTGGTGCTGCTGTTGGTTTTCCTCCTCTTGACTGCTGCGACTCCTCCATGGGCTGGCTCTCCTTTGTGTCTGGCGCTATCACATCCTGTACAAAGGGTTTTTAGTGTTTTATTTTTCGAAACTGTCTGTCGTCTGTCGATTATGGCTAAAACGTGCAGTTGATGTGAACACGCAGACAAAAACAGGACAAAAACAGAACACAAACAGAACAGGTGGACAGGTGGACAGGGACTACGTAAGTGCCACTACAGAGTGACAATGCCAGCGCCGCTGACCCATTGGCCCATTAAGTAATATTTCCATCAGTAAATTAAAGGCCACTGCTCGTATGCGTAATGTTACGCATACTCCCTGCTTTCACAACAACAAATTGCACAAATTGCACCTGCACTTGCATTACTTCTATTGAAATTCAGCAACGCCCCCCACAGTGCCATTAAGCCTACTAGCTCTAACCCCTAACCTCTGGGGAAAACTTGATTATCCTTAACAAATGGCTTGGTTGGGTGGGCAGGGGCGTTGAGGGACTGCAGCAAAAATATAGCAATTGGATATATATCATACGAGCTTATATCATACGAGTACGAGTATATCTAAATGCCTGCAAACTGAAAATGTTTTGACGTTTGCATGTTCCTTTGCCATTTGGACTCTGGCCCGGCTGCCGCTCTGACAGCTGAGCTCTGGCTCTGGCTCTGGCTCTGAGGCTGGCTCTCTGCGCGTCTTTCCGTCTCCACATGTCAGTGAAAGCGCCCATGGAGTGGGTGAGCATTATTATAAAAGTCTATAGTATAAAGTCTATCTGTGGGTAAACAGCTGCTGATTTACGGCAATCGATAGTGCCGCAAATCGGGGGCAGGACAGGACAGGGCAGGACAGGGCAGGGCAGACACTGGCATTGATTTGATCTAAGTAACTGGAATAGCGAATATATACGGATGGATGGTACACAAAAACGAATTGAAAATGAAACTGAAAATGAAACTGAAACTGTGTGGGGCAAAGGTAACACACAATACACGTACATGGGGGGGGTGGGAAATTGGGGCTTATATATATTCTATTCTTGGAGTGGGAGTGGGTGGTGCGGGGTGGTGTGGTGTGCAATGGAAACGATAAGCAAAAGACACAAGTTGCAGGTTTTGCATTCCATTTTTAATTGGTTACTGTTATCGTTTATGGTTTAATAGTATTTTTTTTTGTTTACTTCGAGCGAAGAGAACTTAACACACTTTGCATTTACAAAATATATATATATGTAGTATATATGTAGGGTATATATGTATAGCTGAATAAAGAATTAAATATGTCTGGTTATATATCATTATGTAAGCTGATTGCTGCGGTTATTCATTCTTGGGCTGCTGCTGCTGCTGCTGCTGGTTGCTGTTGCAGGTGGCTCTGGCTGTTGTTTCTGCTGCTGCTTTGTATTGTTGTTGTTGTTGTTGTTGGTGTGGAAAACAATTAGAATGAATGGAAATTTGGGGTGCCTGCTGCAGTTGATTGACTGATTGATTGTTTGATTGATAGGATAGTTGGTTTGCTTTCATTTTACAGTTCACATTTGAGTTCGAAAAGTGTTTTGTTTTTTGAGCGATTGAACGGCACACACAACATACGGTACGGTGAGAGAACTACAAAACATGTTGCACGCTGGACACCTAAAGCACGCCAAAGTGTACCTCATCATCGTCATCGTCATTCTCTTCTACATTATCCAGATCCTGGGAATCCTTCTGCTCAGTCACTGGTACCGGCTGCTCCACCTCCACCTTCGCCTCCGCCTCGCTGATCTTTGCCTCTTCAACTGCTGCCTCTGGCACTTCCCCTTCTGGTTCCGTCTCTGGCTGCGCCTCTTCAGTCTTTTCGTTAACTTTTAGCTCACTCCCAGTGGCAGGCTCCTGCTGCTGCTCCGGCTCCTGCTCCTGCTCCTGCTCTGTGGCAGCTTCTTCGTGGTTTGCCTCCTCGGTTGCAGCAGACTGTTCCTGTTCCTGTTCCTTCGGCTCCTCTCCACCCTGGCCAGCAGTTTCTTCTCCTCCTTCCTTACCGCCGCTTACAGCGCTTGCAATATTCTGTAAAAGTAAACAATTGTCGACTGATTGCTTTCCGAGTGGTTCAAAGGATGGTTGTTGGATTCTACGATTGAAGATCTCAGCCTTCGGTTCATTGTATGTACAGCGGCGAAGGACTTGAGAGGTCTAAACAAAAAGCGCAAAGATAGTTGTAGAAAGTGGTGAAGGGGAAAGCGAGAGCCGACAATGGCTTACTTTCACAGAGCCCCCCAGCCCCGCCCCGCTACGACCCACCGCGCGTCTTCCCACAAAAGCAAATCCAAGTGCAACACAGAGAAAGCGCTTGGGGGGAGTGTGCAAGCAAAGACAAACGCAAAAACGAAAACGAAAACGAAAGCAAACGAAAGACTCAATCCGCAAGCAAAAAGGCAGCACTTACCTCCGGTGTCGCCTCACTGTCGCCTTCGGTGTCGCCTTCGATGTCGTCGCCATTGATGTGGCCATTGTTGAATGTGGCCGGCGTTTCCGGTCGGCGCTGCAATGGCGGCACTTCTGCCGGCTCTGGCACCGTATCCCCATCCACGTCCACCTCCACCTCCACATCCACATCCGCCTTGGACAAATCATCTTCCTCATCATTGGCACTTGTACTGCGGTTTCAAAATGCAAAAAATTGTCTCTCAAAGCCATGCCCCACACGGAACGCACAAATCAAACAAAAACTGAATGCAGCGCAGCCAAAACTTAGCCTAAGCCATGCTAACCCTATGTTAACCCCCTGCCCCTTGCCCCACCTACTCACCCATCGTTTGTGTCCAGCTCCGAGGTGTTCTCGATGCTGTCGTCCAGAGACTTACGTCCATTCACAGTGGGGGCCACTTTAATGTCCGATTTCTGCAAATGAAAGGGATAGATGGTGGGTGTAGGGAATCCCCTCCGCCCCCCCCCCACCCACAAGCTGGCTTACCTTGCTGGCCGCATCGCCGCCGGCACTGTTGTCGCCGCTCTCATCGCTCAAGGCCTCCCAGTCGGTGGTGCTCTCGGGGGAGACACGCGGTGCCTCCGGCACATAGACGAGAAAGGCCCGCTCGATTTCGTGCGGCTTGTGGCGGTAGTACGAGGGTGTCTTCATTTTCTGTAAAAATTGCCCCCGAATGAATCATTTTAATTGTTTGTATAGGTCGGATGGTTAGTTGATTGCCACCCCCCGCCCCACTCACATAGTCGAGGGCCTCCTCGTCACAGCCCGCCTGGGTGAGCAGGGTGTAGCAGCGCATGTTGTTTTTGGCACTGGCTGCCCAATGGAGCGGCGTCTTGCCGGTGATGTCCATCTCGTGGGCCCCCTCCGGCCAGAGGCCGACCAGATATTCGAGTATCTTGGTGTGGCCCAGGCCAGCGGCCTTGTGGATGACATTCAGGCCATTGCCGTCCTTGCAGGTCACCAGGGCGGCGGCAACGGGCGGCTCCAGTTGCGCCTGCACCGTTTCCAGATTGTTGTCGATCACCGCCTGATGCAGATCCTTGATGGCATTCTGCGGAAGCAAACTGGTAGAGCGGGAGTGGGTGGGGGATTTTTGGTGCACTGCCTCACCATGACATGTGGCACGGCGGCGAGGAAACGCTTGACACGCCCATTGTTGCTGGCCTGCTGGCACAGGCGATGTCCTTGGCCCGCCCACAGAATGCGCGTCAGTTTGCCAATGTCCTTTTCGTGCATCCAGATACGGATGGTGGATAGCTTCACCGAGAAATCTATTAGCCAAAATAACGTAGGAAATTGAAAAGGTAGAAATTAATTTCACCAGAAACAGAACCAGAAACAGAACCACCCAGCGCCTGGCCCTGCCCCTTCCCGTGCCCCTACTCTGCCACTCTCTAAGCGATTTCCATTTCATTGGCACCCCTGGTTCGTGTTTGCATGCAATTTGCCGAAAAACAAAAAACCAACTGAAAACTAAATTAAAACGAATACGAAAATAAAATGCAATAAATGCTCAAGTTTTGTGACTCGCGAACTGCACTCGGCTGCAGCTCGCTTAAAGTGGCATTACTCAAGACAATTTCCGCTGGAGAAAGTTTTCGCCAACTTGAAATGCGCCAAGGTCATCGGATCGGAGAACTTTTAAGTGGAAAGTCTGCGCCCCTTGAACAGCGCCCGGAGCGGTACTTCTGACTGAATCATTGATGTTATTTCTTATTGATGGGAGAAAATGACATCTGGAACCCGCCCCCGCCCCCGCCCCCGCCCACCAATATCTTACCATCGTTGCTGCGCCGCTTGCTTCCATTCAGGCCGCCCGTCTGTCCGTTCATCGGCATAACTGCAAGTGGATAACCAAACATTATCGTTGATTTTCCAATTGAATAATTTAAATATTTTCAAATATATTTGTACTGTGCATAGCAGAGATATACACAAACAGAGTACGACTATGTGGCTTATATTTGGCAGTGGAAAAGTCATTGCCTACTCCCTCTGCTTGATCCCATACTTTCCTGCGTTTTTCTCGTACGTATCAGAGGGGTTATTTTCTTTTTTATATTTGCGTCTGGCCCGCTTGAGCCGCGTTGGCAAACTAATTCCCGGCCACGTCGAAAGGTGTTGAATTTGGGACAGCTAGCTGGCGATTCGATTGTGTTGTGTTGTGTTGTGGTCAAGGAGAGTGCAGACCACCAGTGCCAGAGTCGTGGCAGCAGGGGAAGTAGTACATAGCAGCAATAATTGCGTCCTGTTCGCGCTCCTTCAACGTCTGAATAACGTCCATGAATAAATAACCTTTCGGTCTCCTTTGTGGCGTGTGTTACGTGCAGGTACTAAGCAAACATTTTCATTAGCCCATCGATGGGTTCGTTCTCTGTTCTCTTCTTGTGGGTGGCGAAGCCACTAACCAAATACGAGTACTACATACATGTGGAAATACTTTGAATTTCCTTTTGACCGTCACTTTCTAGACATTTTCTGTGGCACAGCAAATACCTTTAGATATATGGGGAAAATATTTGCAGGGAGTTTCAGGCAATCCTTAGAAAATTCTCATGTAAATCTCTCCTGGAGCGAAACTGTTACCCAGAACAGCCCTGCAGCTCCTTTGACCACACATTTGTGATGTGTCAAGGTCGCCTGTGGTCTATTCCTGGTCTGTGCCACACCTGAGGAACATTCCTTGTATTTGCTTTCTTTTTGTGACATGTAAATTAGTTGAATGGAATGAATCATTAGATGGGGTGGGGGGATGGATCCCTGCCACATACATATACATATACTCAGTGCCGTGGGGGTTGAGTGGCAATAAAAACTGCTCGAAAGTGCCACGGAAATGGCGCATTAGTGCTTGCCACTTTATGTGGCACCCGCTTCCCCCTCCGCCAGCCCTTGAACACCTGTAACTTGTTGAGCTGACACTCTTTTATGGCACGCAATATGCAAATTTTGGCCAAGACTCCTCCCCTCCGTCCGTACTTCCCTCCTTCCCTTGCACCTGCGTGTTGTCACCGCAATTTCCCTCAATTATAGGGAATGAATATGAATAGTTATGCGTTGAAATAACTCACCTTTGGGTGGCGATGAATGGTAATATAGGCCATGGAATCTTCTACGACGCTTCGGCGGCATCGCCAATTTATATCTTTCGATGGCAGAGTCTCTGGTTGTGTCGCAGCACTCTTACAGTCCACGACTCTTCACATTGCCCCAATCGCGATTCATTTAGCACTGCACCGCACTGCGAATGCACTCACTTCACACAACACTTGGGCACTGGAAATAGCTTTGGAAAACGGCGCACTTAGATCGAAGCGCTGCATCGACCGCTGTCCTGGTAGGTTCAACGACGTCTGAGTTGACAAATGCACACGCTCAGATGGCCAACTGGTCAGCCCTGGCCCCACATACGACTCCTCATACCACGCCATCCCAGCCATCCCAGCCATTGCGTGTGTGCATACCCAATGACTGGGGCGGTGGATGTTGATGTGGATGTGGATGTGGGATGGGCGTGTGGGTGCGCTCTCACATATGGTATGTGATTTTTGTTATGTTTTATTTATTTAGTTTACCGAATCCCACACCGCATTTCGAATGCATTCGAATGCTTTGGCTGCACGGGACCAGGACGTTGGGACGTTGCCTACTTATTGGGGCTGACTGCAGCCCACAGGCGCCGCGCCGCCAGAAAAAAACCAAAATGGGAATTCGATGAAAACAAACCAATTAGACGCGAATCGATTTTCTGATTTGGAAGGGGGGGCGAACGAGTACGGGTACTATTGAAATTGGAGCAGCACCCAGAGAGGGGCACACCGAACAGGTCACAGAGTCCTGCCCCAAGGTCCTGGCGACCGCCTGCACGAAGAGGAAGACAAGCTCCTTGCCCCGCTCTGCCCAATGGATGAGTAACGATATTCGAATATCCTGAATGGCGTGCGGTCAAATTTAAAGACCCACTTGACACAGTTTCCCCAGAGGGAAGTGCGTGCGTATCCCTTTGTCAAGGTTTCATCCCATTCCCCTCCAGAACAGAATGATTGACCCAATTTCGGGTCCCCTAGCTCTCTGGGGTATACGCGTTGCTCCCGTAAATGTCACTGCCAATTAGCTAAACTGCCGCCATGGGGCTCCTCTAATTAGAATTTATGGCATCCACTTTGATTGCACTTCCGCGACTGTCAGCGTAAACGATCTATGCATTATTCATTCGCCCCCAGCCCGGGGCTGCTTTCTGCATTGAGTCCAGACAGGGGGGGAGGTGTCGGGTGCATTGAACTTGACAGAGCTCGCGTCAGACCCTGCCACTGGTCAATGCACGGGCAACAAGAACCCAACCTCCGTTGCATTCCTCACTCGAACGTATGTACACAAATCCCAGCCACTTTGCATACACTTCACTTGCCACTTGCCACTTTCCACTTCCGCTTCCGATTCGCCACTTTCCGCTTTTCCGTTTGCTGTAATTTTTGGGCTTTTTCTGTTGTTGTTGTTGTTGTTCCGGTTTTTCTTTCGATTCGATTTGCACGACGCGCGCTTTCCTTGCAGACTGCGGCATATTCAGCGTTTCGTAGGTGTTTTATCTAATTTTTTCCTACACGCACACCAACGAAATTCATTCACTTTCACTCTCTCTCACTCTCTCCCTCTCTCTCTCTCTCTCTGCCTTTTGGTGTGGGTGTAGCTGTATGGGTGTTGGGGGGGGAATATCGAGTATTGGTAATTGCTTGCATGCGAACGCCGAAAAAAAAAAACCCCACAAATAAACCAAACCGATGGGAAGCGACGCGAGTGTGGGCCCAAGGTATCGCCGCAGCACTTATCTAAAATGGAAAGTAAAGAACGATGGGCGGGAGCAAATGGTCTACAAATATTGGGGCTCTTCAATGGGAACGAATTCCGCACTGAAATGTGAATTATCTTGGACGAAGATCTACTCGCTTATGAAGTAATTCGTGTATATTTCTCAGGCAGTTTGCGGACAGCCTTAAGCGTAGGTCTAACTTAATACTTAGGAGACTAAGGGGATGCCTGGCTATCAGCTCTTGCTACTCAGTTCGTCTGCGGAGACGTGAATGGGATGGGTGAATTCGATGTGGTCCGACGAGGCAGCTGCAAACGGCACAGATTAGTAGCGAGAAAGGATTCATGGCCATCATCAATCACTCACCATGAAGATATCCTCGCTCGATGTTGTACTGGGGAAACGGAGATGCCGGCTGGAAGCTTCGCTTCCGGCGCGAAACCAACGCCTCGCGACGCGTCCGGAGCAGGGCCAGGCTGATGTGAGACTTCTCCAGTGGCAGGTTGTCGTCGCCAAACTCCAGGCACTTGCCGTAAACGCAGAATCGCTTGCTCACCTGCGAGCAGCGCGTGCCCATGGGAAAGTGTCCGTTCTTGCCGTTCACAAGGTAGTACCGGTACTTGATGAACTCGTCCTGGCAGCCGACGCGACAGCTGCGATCCGGCTCGTCCATGCTGGCCGAGATCTGGGCCCCGTGGCCGGAGAGGCCGCGCACCTTCATCCTGTAGCTGGCGCAGGTCTGCTCCGCATACTCCGCGGCCGTCTGCAGGCGCTCGCAGGGCTTCGCGCGATGCGTGCAGAGCTGGAAAGTCTCCTCGCGCGTGACCCGCGACCTCACCGCCTGGATGCCCTTCGAGTCGGCCATGCAGTTGGAGTGGCAGCCCGACTTTACCTCCCATTCGGTCTCCGCCGAGGAACTGCGATCGATGGCGATCAGCGAGGCAGAGGCTGGTGGCGGGGCCGCCCTCTGTGGCTGCTCCTCCCTGGGTGGATACTTGTGGTACGACTCGTAGACCTTCCTCTTATGCGGCTGTGGCTGTTGCTGCTGCTGCTGCTGCTGCTGCTGCTGGGGTCTGATGTGGTTGTCCTGCCCATAGAAGCTGCGCACGGCCACTTCTACTCAGAGAGAGAGAGAGAACTAAAATCAGAGAAATTTCACAAACGAGAAGAGATTCCAGATTTCCATTACCATTCTCAAAGCGATTTCTGGGCGTGACTCCCTCCTGCTTTTCCGCATAGCGCTTTTGGGTCACTGCCTGCTGCTGCTGCTGCTGCTGTTGCCTGCTCTCCTCATTCGCAGAGTCCCTTGCCCTCGACTGGCAGAAGGTCTGGTCCATTCTGTAGAAGTTGTTCGTGGAATTGTCGCAGGAGAAGCGCTCGCAGCGCCCCGAGATGCAGTAGGCAATGTCCTCCGCGCTGTGGTGCTTGGACCGGCAGGTGGTGCCGTCGGGAAAGGTCCAGCGACGCGACTTGGTCGCATTGGTCCTGGTGCGGCAGAACACCTTGCAGGAGTCCTCAAAGGTGGAGCTCACCTGCTGCCCCTCGCCCGTCAGCTCGCCGTCCAGCTTCTTGGCCTGCATGCACACCTGGGTGGCGAAGTTGGCGATCGTCTGGACCGGCACACTGTAGCACTGCTTGGCGATGCAGCTCTCGAAGCGCCGATCCTGGCCCATGCACCGCTGCCGGTAGTTGAGGCAGCTGCGGTTGAAGGTACGCAGTCCGGTGCTGCCCTCGCGCAGCCGATTCGAGGGTCCGTACAGGCACTCCGATTCGCATTTGCTGCCCTCGCTCCAAGCGCTCCAGTTGGTGACAGCTCCCGGCAGCTCGTTGCCCGACGGCCTGGCCTGCTCGCTCAGCAGCGGCCCGATCCTGTTGGACTCCATGAAGCTGGCCTTCTCATAGCTCGGCTTGTGCGGCCACTGCCTGTAGGACGCCAGGGCGGTCTCCTGCGACGAGCGAGCCACACAAGAGCCACCGCGACACCACTAAAGCGAAACATACCGATGAGTGGTTGCTCTCCGCCAGTGGAATCTCTTACCATTCTCTCCCCGCATTCGGTGCCCTCCAGGGCCGGATGTGAGGTCCAGGGCAGCTTATCCTGCCGACAGTGGAGATCCCGGCAGATCTCCGCTTTGCTCTGGCTGCTGGCGCGCATAAAGTTCTTGCCAAAGCGCAGCATGCACTGCTGGTTGGCATCGAAGCGTTCGCCGGGCGGTATCCCACCCGCGGAATGGTCCAAGTTATCCAGAAACTGTCCCCGATCGAAGAGGCACTCGGCCTGTGGCTCTCTACACAGATATATGGAATTATATTCGGAGTTTCGTGCCCAGCAAGAACTTACAGTAGGAAGTCCTCCAGATAGGTGCGGGAGCACTTGGACCATGTGACCTTGCCACTGCCCAACTTTGGGGACATGATGTGCATGCTGGGGTCGCAGCTGTTCTCCTTGGTGTCATGCCGCATGCCCAGACTGCAAAGGAGTTTCTCATTCGATTAGGAGATCAGAAGATCAGAACCTCACACACTCACTTGTGTCCGATTTCGTGGGCCACCACAAAGACGCTCTCAAAGTGCTTGGCCTCGTTGATGGTGCAGGAGGAGACGGGCGTGCACATGCCGGACACGGGGGCCAGGCCCACCACCTGGCTGTTGGCCTTGCCATCCTTGGTGATTGTGCGCAGGTCGAGGCCCGTCAGGATGAGGGCATGATCGTAGTGCAGGGGATGCAAGTCCGAGAAGGGATTCAGCTTCTCCTGCCACTCGCAGAAGCTGTTCAGGTAGTGGTCCACGTCGCTGGAGCGCGACAGGCTGGCGGGATCCCAGGACTTCCAGATCTCCAGGCGCTTCAGCACAAAGTTGATGCGCCGCCCGAGCGTCGGGTGGTGGTAGAGCAGCTGCACCCCGTTGATCATGGCCAGCACGAAGCTGATCATCTTGCTCTCCGTGTCGGCGGGGAAGTTCCGCTGCATGTGCGCGAACAGATCCCTGTCCACGAAGATGGCCGTCTCGATGAACAGCTCCTCGGGCACTGACAAGCCGCGTGGCGGCGGCCCAATGAAGCGACGACGGCGTCCATGCTTCTGGTGATGTTTCAGATTCTTTCTCTGGTTCTCGTGTTGGCTCTTCTCTTGATGATGATGATGATGATGTCGCGGCTGGAAGCGCAGTCTCAGCGGGGACTGGGACTGCGACTGTGTCTGGGCTCGGAGTCTCGGCTTCGGTTCGTTGAATTCCTCTGCATCGGGCTCGAACTGCAGCTGGCTGTCTAACGGATCCAGTGCCCCCCCCAGCCGACCGAAATTGTTCCTATCCAAGCGGGCCTGGTAGATCACATGGTTGCCCGCTCCGAAGCGAGCGGGTAGCGGATGGATCACAAAGTCGCTGGCATTCTGCTGGAACACGCCACGCTGCCAGAGGGAGCAAACCAAAAGAGACATTAACTTCTCGCTGTCTGCCTGTATGGGATGCGGATCAGCCTTTCACACTCACCGCAGTGCCCGTTTCGCAGAGATCGAGGGCCGCCGCCGGACTCCTGTAGAAGCAGCTCTCCAGACGCTTCAGCAACTGCGGCGAATGCTCCACGAACTGCGTCCCGTTGGCGGTGCGACGGATGAAGATGAAGGCATCGTCGATCAGCTGCGGCGCCTGATGCAGTTGCAGTCTGGCCTCCACTCCCTCTTCAGCGCCATTCCCTTGCCCATGGGAGCTATCGGCGTCTGTCGAATGCATTTGAATTAATTAAACTTCTCGCATAATGACCGCAACTGGAGCAGCACGAGCTCTGCAGCTGTGTGTCTGTATCCATGTGCAATGTGGGATGCATTTTATTTGGTTTTCGGATTTCTGTTTATTCGTTTCTCACCTTGGGGCAATGGCATGCTGCGTCTGCGGCGTCGTTTCACGCTGTTCTCCTCCTCCTCCTCCTGCTCCAGGTGCACCAGCTTGAAATCGGGCGCTGCAATATTGAGTGCCCCACATAAATCAATACGAGTACAAAAACAACTGCGCAGATTTCCGCGACCACCCAAGGCCGCCCCCCCGCCACTCCCTATTTGCTGCCACCTGCCTGCACCCCAAAGACTGTATTTAGACTGTTGACTGTAGTTCAAGTTTACCATTCATCGATTGCAGTGTTTGTTTTGGCTACGGCTACCCGACTTAATGATATGTTGCAGTGCCGCAGAACTGTCAGTGGGTTATGGGCTACGCTCCCTCAGAACTGTCAGTCGGTTCTGGCTGCGACCTCACCCACTGCCATCAGCGAAGTGGGTCACAGTTAAGAATCTTTACAATCTACTTGGCCCTAGGAACTATCGCTATTGTTACAGCAGCAGCAGCAGCACTTACCCTCGCCCGCCGATGGTGTGCCAAAGATCAGGGCCCGCTCATGATCCATCAAGTGCCCCAGCAGTGTGTTCGCGTCCAGCTGCGGAAGAGCAGAGAGTGAGAGAAGGGAGAACGAATATTATGGCGAACCGAAAGAGCAGTGAAAAATGTTTAATATGCAAAGCGGAAAGTGTAACAAAGGCAACAAACCGTAAAAACTTACTCCGACAACAGAGCAAAGGGTAAAGGTTTTCTCGAGATTATACCCCTCCCACCCATCCGAAATACTTTCACTCAGACAATGGAAAATTTATACCAAAAGAAATGAAAAGCAAAGCTCCAATTAGACATTTCCAACAGCTGTTCGTTGGGGTCATCATGAGGATGGCGGTGACCACCGACAGTCCGTAAATTGTTGGTGCAACACACAGAAATTGGTATGCCATTACATGGGATATATCTTCTCCACATGCGGTGCGGTGCGGTGCGAGTGCGTGTGCGATTATTTAATTTAATTTGTTGTAACAGTTTTCATTTGGGTTTTATTCGGTTTTATTGTGGAAAAGCGCGCTGGTGCCTGGCGGAGCGTAAAGAGCGTTTCGGTTTTATGTTTTGAATTGAAACTCCGCCTACGGCAGCAGCGAAGAGGAGAAGGTGTTACAAATTGTTGTAGGCGCTGCTGGCTGGTGTTTCTGCTGGCAAATGTTTATAATCAACATTGTAATGCTGTGCGAAAGAGGCGTGGCTGGTTGTTAAATGGCTTATGATATTTGAGCAAAATAAATAAAGAGAGAAAACCACTAACAACAAAAAATGAAGCGTTAAATAGAAACAGATTTATTCCTAGATATACATATCTTTCTGATATAAAGAGCTTCCTTCTGGATAATTTACATTTGACAAGGCTTTAAATCAATACAAAAATATTTAGACAAAACTCTTAATGTATGTACCCTTTAAAACGGTTAAAATTTCGCTTGAATCTTTATCATTTTTCGTTGTAGACCCTTTCTAGTTGCAGCCTCTAAGCAAGCCATCTCTTACCTCACTCCCTGGCCAATTTGGTTGCCTGAACTTTATCAAAGACAAACAATGTTCAATGAAATGGACACTAATTGGCTGCAAGGGCAACAGCATAATAGGCCCGAATCCACATAAAAGAGCGATCCCAGAGCGATTCAGATTGCCGGAAAAGCCCAAACGCCGAACAAACAGCAACAATACCAAGTGACAGCCACAGCAGACAGCAGAAAGAGTGGAAAATGCATCCCTCATGGAGCTCGTGAAGCTCGTGGAGTAATCGCCCCCAAACAAACTGATTATGTGATGAAATTTTGCGTGACCCATAGCCAGAATGGGCAAAAATACACAAAAAAAAATAACCAAATGGAAAAGCGGAAAGCCAGAAAAAAAAGAGGGGAAAATAGCGAAAAGTAGAAACAAACAAATGTAAATGTAAATTATATCATAGAAAATTGTCTTCAAAGCAATTTCGCAGCAAAGGAGGATGGGCTGCAGAGAGTACGACTATGATCACATAATCATGAGCCATAACCAAGCGAAAGGTTCTCAAGTGCGACCATACCACACATATACATATGTATGTATCTAGTTGTGTATGTATGTATTTGGAAGGGTCAACAACTTGGATGGACTGGCGATCTTCTGTCTACTGGCTTGTTTTACTTGATTTCATTTTGGCAATGTCTGAGAATTCCTTGTGCCCCAGACAGCTGCAACTGGCCAGCTGCTGCGGCGATTATCCATACGATTCCGGGTAATCATGTCATGTGATGTGCATTCCTTTTGGGAGTCTCAGAGCTCTCCAGCAGCAGCTCTGGACCTCCTCCAACTCAAATTATAGGGAAGACGTTGGGATTTTCTTTGTTTTTTTTTTGTTGTTTTTTGTTTTTGTTTGAGACATGTGTAATTGGACAAGTTGTCGCCAATTTTAGGTTCTTTCGGTTGCCGGTGGCTCCAATTACCAAAACATTTTCCAACGCCCAATTGGGCAGAGTTCATTAAACGCCTTGGGGTCTGGTTACTTTACCCCCATTTCCAGCCACACCCCGTTGATGTTTTTACAACATTTAATGCTTAGCTGTGCAAAACTATACATAGTTGAGTCAGAGAATATTTTACACTCTTTGGGAGGGTACAATGGCAAGACGCCTCTAGATATATTTTGCCTGCCAAACTTTATTACTTTAGTTATTGGTAGGGTATCTTTGAGCCTGGGCTACCCTCTATTTAATGTTTTATGCATGTTCTGTCTATGTGGCAGTTTTTTTTTTTTTTTGTTTTTTGATCACCTGTTCGGGTTATATGGGTTAATCGTATGATGTATGGCATATCGTACGACAATAAGACAATGAAAATATTGATATCAATCACGACGACTCACCTCAATGCCATTCCACTGCAAGCTCCTCTTGCGGCGCAGCTCAATGTGGACGGAGGAGGAGGTGGGGGACGAGGAGTGGGACTCATAGCCATCATAATTGTGGGGGCTAACGGGAGCGATTAGCAGCCACAAGGTGGTCAGACCTATTAAGATCCAACTACGATAGATCCATCGGCGATTAGATGCCATTGCTGAGACAGTCATAACGATGCGTTTATGACCGTTGACAACCGAAAGCAAAGTTGATATTTTCGTTGTAATACGCGACTCCGTTTGAATGGGTAGTACTTTGGATCGGGGTGGCACTAATCACTCTATTGTTGGTGCAACACACAGTGGCAGGCGGCGAATGTTGCACAAATTGCATACACAAATACAAATATTATTCCTTTTTCTTGGCTTTGCAGCCCAATTTCATAATTTGTTGCTGTTGATTCGCTTGGAGTTACATTTTCATTGGTCTGCGGAAAATTTGAACGGGTGAAAATTACAAATGGTTTCTTGAAAGAGAAAAGTGAAGGCGCTTAGTGGTGCCTCTCCCTCATTGTCTGCTCCGACTTTTACGCCAGTTAATTTAACTTTTTATGCACTAATTAATTGGCATGGCAAGCCAAGGCATTGCATTAACATCTCGCTCGCTCGCTCGCTCGCTCGCTCAGCGGGTGATTTGTATTTGGGCCACTCTTGACTTTTATTTTTACTAGTTATTTATTTAGTTTGTTTCCTGAGTTCTTTGTGAAGTGCTCGCCCAACGATTGCCACTCCAGATAAGGCAGAAATCTCGCAAAATGTACCCCACCACCTCACAGCTTGTGGATGGTACAAGGTTCTGTCCGGTATCAATATTACTAGCGATATCGGCGAACAAGAGCCACGTTCTGTTTTAAATATAATGCCAGTCTTTTGTTTTCATATTTAGACGCATTTATTTTGATTTAAGCGCCACAGCCAGAGCACAATTAAGCACACACAGATCATAGTCTCTGAAGCAGAACGCTCTTTCGGCCAAATGGTGTTTTATTTTATTTTTATTGGGTATTTTTCATACACGTTTATTTTCCATATGCAAATCACACTCAAAACTGAAACGTTTATAAACAATTTGGCGGAGGTCAATGCGCACTCAGTGGATCCACACGAAGGATTTCAGTGGTCGCGAAAGAGATGAATACTCTCTAGGGGAGCTAATGTATGAGAGCGAGCCCCAACCCAACCGACCTTCCGCGACGGCTCCACTTTTGCGAATGAAATGTTCACAGAGCGCGGAAAACATGATGAGACAGGCACGATCATGAATCTTTTTGGTGTTCGGTTTTTTCCTCGTTCTCGCTCCAAGCACACACACACACAAACACACACAGAAGTATGCTAATGAGCCAAAGCGCCGGAAGAAGAGTAGAAGACCGTTAAGAAAAGCAAAGGGCCAAGAGAAGAAAAAACACACACACAAAAGAACTGGCAAAAAATAAAACAGGTGGCAATTGTTTTGTGGTCAAGTGCTTGAAAATGATGGAGCAGACGAAAACTTGACACTGATCATCACAGCAACAGGTCGGATAGCAAGAAGGCAAAGAATTATGCTGCATTTCCGCCAAGAAGATTTGATGTTGTACAGGAAATCTTAAATCAGCGAATGCAAATGCAGAGGCACAGAACGGAGCAGCAAACAAACAATCGGACAAGACGCCAATTGAAGTGATCAGCTTTTAATTGATGCAATCAATGGCTGATGCAACAGCCAGTGGCAATGATAAATCACACGCTGTCAAAACCCCTCACAAGACTTCAATCAAAACGATGGCTAAATTAACAAGCAAACAGAGGAGTCGCAAATTCTTATCATTAAACGAGCGTTAAATTCAAAATTTAGCAACGATAGGCATTTAGTTTTTTCGTTGGGTACGGTCACACTAGAAAGATTGGATAGATTGGAAACATAAGGGGTAATTTAAATTCCTATTTTAAACATTTTGTTCCCTCATTAATTGACATTTTTGTGTTTTTAATACAAGATGAATTTACAACCAGTATTATTAACCGCGTTTTAACGCAAATTGTACTCAATTCGTGGAGAGTGCTCTCTTTTCAGTGGAGAATTGAGTGTTTTTGTGGAGACCTTCCCCTCATTTTCGTGGTGTGGCAGCATGTTGCTGAAATTTTCCCATACAAAATCAAATGTATCTTACGGGAACATTGGGGAACATGGGGAAATGAATTAGCAGCATTGTTGTGCAACTTTGGCACGGAATGAGCAACAATCTGCATACCTTGGGAAAATGGATATTATGGACTTGAGATATTGTTTGTAATTTCAGGCTCCAAATAATGCAGGAACTACTCAGTCTCAGGTTTAAATATATTAACGAAATTTTGCAGCTCACAGGTACCAATAATAGGTATCAGAACCGGGATAAAAGTATATATAAAACACAAAACATATGCATTACCAGTTAAAAAACATCTCAATCTAAGATAAATGCAATATTAATGTTTCAAAGCTACTTGGAACAACAAATTTAACATCAATTAAAGGAAATAAGGTATACAAAGGCCCATACGCATAGAAGAAACTTGGTTGACCTGCAACACTGACGTCACATTTAGTCAACATTTACGTTCTATGCTTTGGCCTCCTTTGTTTGAACCGTTTTATGTAAGCAATGTAGAAACTTTATGTATCTATCGGATAAAATTATTTGTCTAGGGCTGAGAGGGCCAACTAGCTGGTAATATTAAACTGAAAATCAAAATCATGGAATACGATTTCAATCAATAAAATAGATCGTTATCCCATTGTCGACCCGGGGGTATTTAATGTTTCCACGAAATGTATGTAACTATAACATATTTTACGCATTACAGGTGAAAGATATCGGTGGTAATTTTTCTTTTTTAAGTAAAGTGGAGGATGGAGCTACAAGGAGCCTTTACAAACAGTATTATTTTCCGCGGTTTAACAAAGAGTTGAGCAACTTTTTAAATAGAGGGGTGTTAAGTGGGTTAACTCTCGTTTGATCGTCGGGCTGCCCTGGTTTTTTTATGGTATGGTATTTAAATGGTATTTCTCGAAACTGAAATAGTATTTAATGGTATTTATTTTTTGGCCAGGTGCTATTTTTTATCATCATTGTCACGGTCACACTGCAATTCAAATTAAACTGCAATCTTGGCTTCGCATCGTGCGGCAGAGCTCGACTCTTAAAATTAAAAAAATCAGAAACTTAGTCGCTTTCGATTTAGAAATTGTAATTATATCATATAAAATATCAAACTCCATCGAGATCAAGTATTACATGTAAATCGCAGAGTAACAAGCAAGTTGCTTTACGAATTCAAATCAACGCGCTAACAAGACCAAGAGAAAAGATAACTACAGCATCGCTTCGTGTGTGTTAATTGTATATTTGTTTAAAAACACAATCAAAATGGTCGGCACAACATTGAAAATGCGTGGGGACGAGGTGAGTTTTCTAATGTTTAATAATTTTCATAGGGACATGATAGAAAAGGGCCGATAGCGACGCAGGGACGCCATTGCTGCATCGGCAGCCAAGATCAAAAGGGAATGAGGGAAGAGAGTGCGTGACAGTGTGTGTGAAGAGCGAGCGTGAGAGAGGGTGAGAATGTTCCGTTTGTCAATAGCTTTGTTGTTTTTTCCATGCCGGCGGCGGGTGCATTTTGGCGCACTTTTACAATTGCGGTACTTGTACCGCTAATTATCACTCTCTAGTATTGCCCACTAAATCTCGGAACATTGCGGTTCTTTGCAAAATGGCCGCCGCCCTTTGCCATTTAATGCATTTGAGAAAATTGAATTCAATTGTTTTTGTAGAACGCCTTGGAGAATATTAACCAAGTCCAGCTGAAGAAATTGACAGTGCCTACAAATGAGGCAACCACAAAACGCGCTGCTCTGGGCGATCTGCAGAACCGCGGGTTGAACCGCGCCATTGCCGCAAAAGATGTGGCACAGAAAGAGTAAGTGCACCCGAGCATTCCCCATTCCATTGCGACCGCTTGCTTATTGCGGATCGCTTCGGTTCTCCTTGCAGATTGAAGGAATCGAAGCTGCCGAGTGTGTTGCGCAACGCCAAGGCCCGCGTGGACACGCACTGGAAGAAGCAGCCCCTGGGTGCAAGCAATGCCAATGGCGCCGTGCAGGCCAAGCCCGCTGAGGGTGGAGTGGCGGCACTGCTGCGCTCCAACTCTGTGCGCACCCATACCGCTCCATCGGGCGTTCTGCTCACCCGCCAGGTCTCGGCCAACACCCTGGCCCGTGGCGACAAGGCGGCCGCTGAGGCGACCAGCAAGCGTAAGTATCGATTGCCAAACAAGTCCAAACCCATATCCCAATACCGAACAGTTACAGTCAAGCCAAAGCCGGAGACCGGCTCCAGCGATCAGGTCAATGGGCCTGAGCCCACACTGCGACGCGAAGACAGCAATCTGTCCAAGAAATCCCTTACCAAGCTGCGGGCTGCTTTGGGCAAGCCAGTGATGGGTGTGGCCGGCCTGAAGAAGGAGCCTGTGGGCGTGCTCAAGAAGGAGCCTGTGGGCGTTCTCAAGAAGGAGCCATTTGCGGCCATTAAGAAGGACGTCATCGGTCTGGTCAGGAGCGAAAGCACCGCCAGGGGTGCCCTCCTCAAGCCATCGACAACCATTCAGCCTTCCATGTCCTTGTCCAGCAAGCGCTTGGCCGGCATCGAGGACATCGACGCCAACGACAAGGAGAACCTCGTGCTCGTATCTGAGTATGTCAACGATATCTACGACTATCTGTACAAGGTGGAGATCGAGCAGCCGATCCACAACGATCACCTGGCCGGGCAGAAGGAAGTCTCCCACAAGATGCGCGCCGTGCTGATCGATTGGATCAACGAGGTGCATTTGCAGTTCCATCTGGCTGCCGAGACCTTCCAGCTGGCCGTGGCCATCATCGATCGCTATCTGCAGGTGGTCAAGAATACGAAGCGCAGCAATCTGCAGCTGGTGGGAGTGACGGCCCTCTTCATTGCCACCAAATACGAGGAGCTGTTTCCGCCGGCCATTAACGACTTTGTCTTCATCACCGATGACACCTACTCGGCCCGTGAGATCCGCATAATGGAGCTGCAGATCTTCAAGGCCATCGATTGTAATCTGTCGCGTCCGCTGCCGATTCATTTCCTGCGGCGCTACTCAAAGGCCGCTGGGGCAGAGGATGAGCACCATGCCATGTCCAAGTATTTTGTGGAATTGGCTTCGGTCGACTACGATTTGGCTAGCTACAAGCCATCCGAGGTGGGTTCGGCACACCGATCATGTATATATTACGTTATATAAAAATGTTGTGTTCATGCTGCTTTCAGATTGCTGCAGCCTCGCTTTTCCTGTCGCTGCACTTGCTCAATGGCAACTACCGGGCCAGCACTGGCTTCAACGACAAGCACTGGACACCGACGCTGACCTACTACTCTCGCTACTCGGCCACGCATCTGCGGCCCATCACTCGACAGATCGCCAAGTTGGCGCGCGATGCACCACAGGCCAAGCTGAAGGCCATTCACAACAAGTACCAGGCCAACAAGTTCCAGAAGATCGCGCTCAGAACCGAGCTGAGCGGGCCCCTGATGGACTCCATTGTGGCCCAGAGCCTGAAGAAGTAGTCTGGGCCCACTTCACATCTCCCCCTCACAAAATCCCCCGAAATATTTAGTTTAGTTTAATTTGTTTTCATTTTTAAATTTGTAGCGTATTCCTTTATTTTCGTTCGTTCGTTTGTACGTTTCGTGTTCGTTTTAAGTTTGTGTAATACCAGAAGTCCAAGTCCCCTTCAATCATAATGATCGTAGCTAATCAAGGTCCCTCTGCTGTGCGTCCCGCGTTTGTGTCATGGCCGCCCCGATGCGATCAACGACAAAGGCATTCTTCACTTGATTATGGTTAGGTTCCCTCCCACTCCTTTGCTGAGTTGGAGGGATCCTGAACCGGAACTGGAACTCCTGCTCCTCCCCCTAAGGGCACACCTCTAGAGTGAGAGAGAGTGGACGAGCACAAACCGCAATACACAAGGACACTGAGAGCCAGGTGTGTGAGTGGGCAACGAGTACATTTGCTGGCTGAACATATCGGCGTTGTCTCTCAAAGTACATATACCATATACATATTATTATATTATACCCATGCGAAAGACTATATTTTTATTTGTATCAATTGTATTAGAGTTTAAATTTTATTGGAAATGGTTCGTTCAATGCATTA